TTAAAGAAAAATTGATTATCCAAGTAGCAATGAAGAAACTTCAGAAAAAGCAGTCATATCTGGTTACGTATTGTTGAAGTTGATAGGGATCAAGGGTACTGCCATATGTGGAACCTAGATCTGTTGTTGTGTTTTATGGTACTGGAGTTTGAACTCAGGGTTTCATGCTTGCTAGGCAGGCATTTTGCCACTTAGCATGCTTCCAGCTGCCTATAGAAACTAGATTTTTAAGAAAGCAGATCTTGAAAGTTTCAAGGAAAAAAATAAAGATAGGTAAACATACTGACCCAGAAAGTATGTGAAATTGTCATAATTATAATTCAGAAGTTCTAATCCAAATGTTCTTTCCTAAAGACTTACAGAAGTCAGGCAAGCACATAAACGGAATGGTTGTAGGTAGTGTTCCTTTGAATTTTTAAAAAGTGAGGCAAGGTTATACACAACTAGCTTCAAGAAGGGTAAAGCCCCACCTGAATGGGGACTTTAAAAATAACGATAAATTAAAAACAAAACAAAAATGAATCTTCTAAAGTTTTGTTTAAAATGAGGAAGTAAGTACTTGGCTGCTGCCTAGGCACAGCCTGGTAGTATAACATTGATTTATGACTGAGAAAGTGGCTCTTATTTTTGACTTTGTTCATGACACTTACCATCAGACTAGAAGGGACAGGGTGAACTTCATAAGATGCATGAACATGTATCCATACTTATGACTTGTGTGATGTCCTAGGACATTTAGAGTGTAGAACCACAGGATTATTTCAGTGATCTTGCAACTATGAGGGCCTCTGAAAGAACATGCGTACTAACAGGGTTAGTGCCCATTCCAGATAAGACAGATTGTTTATAAGCCACTAAAAGAGGAAGTCGTCACCAGCCTACAGCATGAATTCATTATGAAGTCACACCGTGTTACTCTAATCTCTGCTGACAGTTCTGACTGATAGGTCAGGAAAATGCAGTGGATTTAAATCATCTGAGCTTTGACAGAGGATAAGGCTTATTTTTGTAATATCTTAGTGGCAGAATTAAGAAAGAGGAAATTAATGTTAGCTGGAATAGCATTGTTTCAATGACTGTGTTGGGGCTCAGAAAATGTTACCCCAAAGGATGGCTCTTTGGTCTGTTGAATATTTTATAGATATTGGAAGGCCTCGGAAGCAAAGTCTCTGAACTCCTGCCCTCCTGCTTTTTTCTTTTTTCTCCCAGGAAGTGAGTCATGCAACTAGAACCTTTTTTCCAAGCTGGGTTGTTGAAGGTAGAACCTCTTTCCCCTAAAGCCAGCCATAAAACCTAGAAAGGTCACTTTCATCTTCTCTCTTAAAGATCCTCATTCCAGAGAGGTCCTGCCTGTACTCCACAGAGAGGCCACGAGGAATCTGGACAGGCTTTGCTAGGTTTCACCTCAGTCTTTTACTATTTTGTCCAATCATATTTTACACAATTGTCCATTTTTCATTGACCTTAAAATAAACAATTTCCCCAGCTGTTTGGGTCTTTATTTCTGAAGGCTACCATGTCATAAAACTTTGATTAAATACATGTTAGACTTTTCTCTTGTTAACCTGTGTTTGTTACAGGAGTGTTGACCTTGACCCCGATGATGGATGAGGACAGGTGTTACTCTGTTTCAGCCCCTACAACTCTATTTAGAGATTGCTGTCAGATATACTTCCAGTGGGGGAAGCAGTCACAGGTCTGCGATCTTGCCTGTTTGACCATTAGTTTTCTTAATTTCTTTTCTCATTTCAGAAACCCTTTTTAGGCTATATAAAAAACTTCAGTTTGGTTAAACTAACTCTCTACTGGGGCCACTACAGTCCAGCTTAATTCAAAGGTGGTGGTGGGGTATTCAGAGCATGGATGGCAAATATAGTAAGTAGACTTTTGGTATTGGCCGGTTCTGGTTCCCAGGAAGATCACTGTTGAGGAAACACCGCACATGCTCAGTATGCATGGAGTTCAGTGCTGTAGTGTGCAAGCTTGATACATTTCCCCATCACGCTGACCAGCTTCAAAAGACGTGCCACCTTTTAACAAATCTCAAATGTTACTTTGTCACTCCAATTAAGCACATTCACTTTTAGCTTGCTTTTTGGGTAACATTTGCTTTTTGGGAGGCAGATTTTCACAAAATTAAGAGTAGAGAAACACTGAGCAGATCTAGCCATGATTTAAACCCAGCTGATGATAATTCGGGACTGACTGAGTGCTTCCACTAAGCTGCATAATGCCTATGTGGGAATTTGATTTTTTTTTAAATTTCTCTTGATTTTTAACAATGTATTATTATGTTTTGACTGTGCTTGATCAAAATCATGTTTAAAAAAACTTGTTAACAAGGCAGCTTACTGTACATGACAGTGTGTGCTTCCCTGTGCCCTGAGCACGTAACTCCAATGTCCCAGCACCTTTTTCTTTGAGCTCTTGTAACATGAGGCAGGATGGACTAGTAGAACCTTTCAGATTTCCTATCAAAACCATAAAAACTTCTGGATTTTACTGTTAATACTGTTCATCAACAAAGTGTGGCATAATTACTGAGTGGCTGTGAATGCAGGGTTGTGCCTACGGACAGTGTGGAGTGGATCTATTTGATGTTGATGGTCAATGATAAAATGCAGGTGATGTGAAGAGAAGACATCTTTTTAGTAAAGCCGTAGAAAAATTTAAAAGCAGGTATAGCTAAATACTTTAGTTATAAGAAAAACTAAACTCAAAAAATGGCTTACTATGTTAACTTCGAACAGTATGATTTGGTAATTACCCTTCTTTGTGTTTCATATTTTTTGAAAAATAAGCATATTGATAAACTAAGGAAACTATAATTATTCTATTTACCAAAATAGTGCCTTTAGTTCTCAAGTAGTTGATCTGAACATATTTTAATTATTATATGGAAGAGCTAGTTGTCTCTGAAGGTGACTTATACTTCACAGCTATAAAATTATACAGTTGCCTTATTGAAGAACACTTACTCTATTTTCCTTTTGTTATAAGATGGGAAGTGGGGAGGTCAAGAGAGAGGAGTGCACAGCTCCAGCCCGAGGGATTGGATGTAAACTAAAAATGAGGGGTAATTAGTGAGCATCTGTACGTGTTCCTGGCAGTCACCTGATGCATCTGAGGAGTGTTCCTCCCAATCTTAAGCCCTGTGGTTATACTCTAATTCAGATAAATTATCAAACATTTTATATTGGGTTCTGGCACTTTAGCCTACGACTTACTATTTTAGTGCTGGTGATTGGACCCAATTCATGACTAATTCATGTTCTTGGATTTCAAAATGAAGGAGAAGTCAATAAAAGTTAAGTATTACCATGGTAAAACTAGTTCCTGCAATCATTAATTTTAATTATATTAGTCATTGGTTCTTTGCGTTAGATTTTTTTAAAAGAGTAATCTCTTTTTGTGTCATGCGTATAATTTCCTCTAGGTAAGGATATTACTTACAGTCTTTCAATCTTTCCTTCTTCTCCCTGCATTGCCTCTCTAGTCTTTAAGTCACATTCTTCCTGCTTGTTCTCGTCTTGTTTTTTCATGTTAAAGCTTGTGATCTTGGGCTTTCCACTCATATTTAAGTATCTGATATCTGCAACATCCGGACCGTTTGGAAGTCCTGTGGTTTGCATTGGTTTTCTCCTGAGTGGTACCTTCTTTGTAAGCATCTGGTATTCGGATTTCTTTCTTTGAAGTACTAGGGTTTGAACTCAGGACTTTGCACTCGCTAAGCAGGTGCTCTACCACTTGAGCCACTTCGCCAGCCCTTTTGTGCTTTAGTGATTTTTCAGATAGTGGCTCACATTTTTTTTTTTTTGCCGAGGGCCAACCTCTGACCCTAGTATTCTTACCTGTGGCCTCCAGCACAGCTGGGATTATAGGTATGTACCATCATATTCAGCTTGTTGGTTCAGATGTTGTCTCACTAGCTTTTGACCTGCATTGGTCTTGAACTTCAATGCTCCTGATACCTGTTTCAGGAGTAGCAGGGATTAGAGGTGTGAGCCACCATACCTGGCTTGATACGCTGATTTCCGAGTGCCACTGATTCCTCCCATATGCTTTCCATCCTCCCATATACTTTCCATCTCCCACAGATTGGTTCATATCTCTTCCTTCCTTTGATATCTCTCCAGTTTGTTTTAGTCTTTGGGTTTTGCTATTTAAAGATATTTTTGTTCACAATTTAATGATATTTCAGGAAGAAGAAAAATAAGCATATATGTGTAACCTGCCATATTTAATCTAAATATCTTCTTTTAATATATCAGAGCCTCAAGCTTCATCTCAGGTCCCATGTTTTCTGTGATAGTTTTCTCCCTAACTTTATATGCTATCGATGTTCCCTGGTCCTTTCTATGAAACAAAGGATGCACTCATTTTCACTGCTTTCCCATATATTTCTTTTTGTGGCAATACAAGTAAATTATTATTTGGTCTTATTGTTTTATTGTATTTTTCATTGTTTAAAGCACTTAAAAAATAACTAATTCAATCCTATTCCATTCGGCTTACTTTCTTTACTTATTAAACACCCATTGTGTACAGCATTTGGTTGGTTATGCTGGGGGGTCTGTCTAATGACCTGTCTCCTAGAGGCATGTGGTCTTGTAAGAGTAACTAGAGCAACTCAGGTCACTGTGAGCAATCAGGTCACACCTTGCGGGTGCATGGTGCAGGGGAAAGGTGGGAAACCAGTGAGGGGAAACAGATGACAAAAATTCCATAAGTAGGACAGCACCAAATTGTAAGAAAAAGCTTAATTTCATGAAATTTGAGATTTCTGTAAAGGACAATGCAGACACTTGTAAAAGATTTCACTTTTGGCATACTGTTTGACCCACTAGATAGAGAGGATGATCTGGCATAGGGTATGCTTCCTAAATTTTGAATTGGGAAGGCACTGTGAGATCAAACATTTTTGAATATACTGCCTTCTTAGACTTTCTAAAAACTAAATGTAAAAGAAAGTTTTTTTTCTCTTCCCCTCCCCCATTTAGGTTTTCCTTGCTGCTGCTTAACTTGGAGGAGTACTACTTTGAGCAGCACTCGGCTTGTCATGTCCAGCACGAGGGCAGCCATGATGAAAAGTAAGATCTTGTGTAGGTCTCCACATTAGCAAACCTGGGTGGTGTCTGATATTTGTAAAATTAAATGTAGGATCATATAGGGGTTTTCTGCCTTCTTTCTTATTAGGAAAGCAACATGAAGAGTGTCATAACTTCAAATGTTCTTTAAAGCTGAAAGGCGTTTGCTCTAATTCCTATAAGATTGCTGGATCTGACTCTGATCTACCTCATCAATTTGTTCTTGCATCCTTCTTGTCATCACACAGTGAACCTGCCCTCAGTATTGGGATTATGGTATATAAAGTAATGATTGTAAATCACAAGAGTAGCATAATCATCACTTTTAAAACCAATAAATGAATAAATAATAGCATTTGAAGTAGAAGCAAAAATCTGATTTCTCCATATTTAAATAAGTATTAATTACTGTTTTAAAAACAGATTCTGCTTCTTTGAAAGCTATGTCCAAAAGTGTATGATGAGGGGTTTTTGTTGTCTGTTTCCCTTACAAATTGTACTGTAGGGTCACCAAATTGCTGATGAGTAAAATTCTTGTTAGTTGACAAATTCTACCTAATAAACTCAGAAGGAATGATAACATTTCAACCGTTAAAGGATCTACACTATGACTGGCATACTACAGCCCTTAGTCCAGATCTGACTGCACTTGTTTTTATAAGTAAAGTTTTATTGGTACGCAGCCACCTATTTGTTTACATGTTACTGTGTATGACTTCTTCCTGCAACAGCAGAGGTGAATAGCAAAGCCACAGATACTTAATATCTGGCTCTTCACAAACAAAGTTGGCCAACTTTTGATTTATACTATAATCTTCAGTGGTTTTATTGGTACGCAGCCACCTATTTGTTTACATGTTACTGTGTATGACTTCTTCCTGCAACAGCAGAGGTGAATAGCAAAGCCACAGATACTTAATATCTGGCTCTTCACAAACAAAGTTGGCCAACTTTTGATTTATACTATAATCTTCAGTGGCTGCTAAAACCATTAGGTAAGAAAGCTGTTGAGAAATTTTATAATGCTGTATGAAATTAGCATCACCTAAAACCTCTGGTGCGGGCTATTGTTGTGAAGGAGTACATGCACCCCTCCTGAAGAACTGTCAAGATCAAACCAGAATCTGAGCTTTTAATCTTACTGATAATTTAAAGGCAGTGCATGGTAGAGGAACGTCACAGAGATGTATTCAGTAAGATCCATAGGGTTGGAGGTGGGCTGGCTCACTGGTGGAGTGCTTGGGTAGTATTCCTGAGGACCTGTGTTTGATCCTAGCACCACAAGAAAAAAAAATCATAATGTGAGAAAATTATTTTAGTTCAACAGATGTGAGGGACATGTCAGCTAAATGTAATGTGGACTTTGTTTGGATTTTGATTTGAGCAAACTGACCTTGAAAATACATTTAAGAAATAGAAAACTTAAACACTGACTCTGTAACCGATGACATTAAGCAGCAATTCACTTTTAGGTGTAATGGTAATAGACTGTTTATTATGAAAGCGCTTCTGTAGAGATTCATACTAAAGTATAGATGAAGTATATGATGTCAAGAATTCTCTCTAGTCCTGTAGGGTTCCCAGGGGCTTAAACATGGAACAAAAATGACCACATATTGATAATGGCTAAAGCTAGGTGAATGGAACATGATGTTTTCCATTCTATTTGTGAATATTTAGAAATATCGTAATTTCTAAATGTACCTTTGGGTAAGGTTGGATATTAAGAAAAGCAAATGTACCACAAAAGGATAGGGAGTGTTACTTTGCTGGGGAGGGACAATTCTTAGACCATAAGACTGTATTTCTCAGCGTGGTGTTTAATTTAAAGCATAATAGCTGCTTTAAATTATATATAGGTACAGATATACAGTTGTACTCTGGTATCCAAAGGTGACTGGTTCTCGGATCCTCACAGAGATTAAACTGCTCAGATGCTTATAAAATGGTATAGTATTTGCAAATGTCCTCCTCTTTAACTTATCTGTAGATCATTTATAATATGGTACCCACATAAAACTTCATTTCCATGGATTCAGCGTAGCAAATTCAAGTTTTGCTTTTGAAACTTTCTAGGATTAAACAGAATATTTTTATTTTATTTTATTTTATTTTTTCCTTTTTCTTTTATTATTCATATGTGCATACAAGGCTTGGTTCATTTCTCCCTCCTGCCCCCACCCCCTCCCTTACCACCCACTCCACCCCCTCCCTCTCCCCCCCCAATACCCAGCAGAAACTATTTTGCCCTTATTTCTAATTTTGTTGTAGAGAGAGTATAAGCAATAATAGGAAGGAACAAGGGTTTTTGCTGGTTGAGATAAGGATAGCTATACAGGGCATTGACTCACATTGATTTCCTGTGCATGGGTGTTACCTTCCAGGTTAATTCTTTTTGATCTAACCTTTTCTCTAGTACCTGTTCCCCTTTTCCTATTGGCCTCAGTTGCTTTTAAGGTATCTGCTTTAGTTTCTCTGCGTTAAGGGCAACAAATGCTAGCTAGTTTTTTAGGTGTCTTACCTATCCTCACCCCTCCCTTGTGTGCTCTCGCTTTTATCATGTGCTCATAGTCCAATCCCCTTGTTGTGTTTGCCCTTGATCTAATGTCCACATATGAGGGAGAACATATGATTTTTGGTCTTTTGAGCCAGGCTAACCTCACTCAGAATGATGTTCTCCAATTCCATCCATTTACCAGCGAATGATAACATTTCGTTCTTCTTCATGACTGCATAGAATTCCATTGTGTATAGATACCAAATTTTCTTAATCCATTTGTCAGTGCTGGGGCATCTTGGCTGTTTCCATAACTTGGCTATTAAACAGAATATTTTTGATCTGAGGTTAGCTGAATCTGTGGAGGTAGGATTTTGCATGTGGAGGGCCAGCAGTAATTGCTTTAGTTAAGGCAGGGAAGCAAGAGAACTCTGGCACAGACAAAGTAACAGAGTTTACTAGGACACCAAGAAATGGCTACAGGCAAAATCTAACTGGTATTGAAGTGATTTTAAAGAACATGAGATCTTTAAAATTCTTTCTGAAATGTACTTTTGGAAACTTATCTTAAGGTAATTTTTATGGCTATATTCCATTATCTCCTAACCTGCATTCTGACTACATAGTAAGTTATTGTCTTGGTTTGATCATTGATAAAAGTTACCAACCGATAAGAAAAAAACAAAGTGTGTAGATTTTTATTAGCTTCAGTCAGGTGAAGCGTATTAGCTCAGACTAACAGCGGCCTCTAAAATGCTTGAGTATGTTCTTTCCAAAACTTACTTAAAACATATAAATGTCCTAGGAAAATATGAAAATGGCAAAGTCCATATCTGATTTATTTGGCATGGTAGTAGTAGCCACATAGTCTTTGGAATTGCTTCTTATTGTGGAACAGATTTTTTTTTTCTGAATTCCTCCGTACCTCTAAATTATTGCCAAAAGCATTATATTTTATGCACTGAATTCAAACTTAAGTTTTCCATGGCTTTAAATAAGAAAAAAATTCCCTTTACCTAACCAAATTTATCTGCTTAATATTGACTTCTAAATAGTTCTTTCAGATACAGAGAATTAAAAGTCAATAGAATTTACCGAAGACAAGATAAATGCAGTATTTATTAATGTTACTGGTCCTTGATTTCCCTTGTACAGTAGTTATGAGGACTAAGTGAAATACTAAACAGAGAACATACAAGATGGTGTTCAACAAATTAAGCTATAATTATAATCTGTGCAGATTTCTCTAACCTCTAGGTTAGAGGAGGTAAGGGGAAATCGTTAAGTGGTTTCCATCCTGTCATACCCTTTTCTCTAAACATGTTGTGAACTGTTATTAACTGATACCTTAGTAACCTACTTTCTAGTTAAAATGTAGCATGATTTTTTTTGTGACTATTATTATTTTCATTAATCTCTTCTACTTCATTTCCTAGGAAAATCAGAGGCTCCTTAAAAATATGTTCAAAATCAGTGATTTTTGAACCAGATACAATATCCCATCCCATCATTAAGGTAAATACATTTAAAATGTGAACAGAAGCATTCCCATATTTTGTATATATTTTATCTTTGCTAATTGTTACAATCTCCCTCAATTTTATCCAGATTCCTTTGAGAGATTGTGTAAAAATAGGAAAACATGGAGAAAATGGAGCCAGTAGATACTTTACAAAGTATGTCATTTTTATCAACTGTTTAATTTTATGTCATGCAAAAAGTTACCTATCTCTGATGACTTTTATTTATATTTTAGGGCAAAATCTGGGGGAATTTCACTCATTTTCAGTCAGGTAAGCACCTCCAAACTTGTATGAACATTTGTATATGTTTATGTGTGTCTATCATTTTTTCACATGATGAAATTATTTGCTTGTAGAAATCTAAAATGAAGACCCTTAGAGTACATGTTTAAATGCTTTTAAAATTTAATCATTGAGAAGTAAATGTTTTTAAAGATGTGATCCCCAAGTAGATCATCAATATTGAGTAAGTATACTATGTCTGTAGCTTGTGGTTTTGACATCAAAAGCTCAGATGATGTGGGAGGTTGAGGCAAAGAGATGGCAGTTCTTCCTGTGGCCTCTCTAGTCATTTAGAAGGTGGGAGGCCAGTGTCAGGCCACTTAATGACTTCAGGTTAATGCATGACAACACAGCAATGACTCAGAATAGGTAGTCTTGTATCATTATGACTCTTGGGCTAATATATTCTATATTCATTTATGTATCCACTGTTCTGGTGCACACAGGACTAGCATTAAAAGACAAATTAAAACATCATTTTACTCCTGTCATATAATTAATTGGTCTGCAGAGTCTGTAAAAAAAAATTCAAATAAGAAGGGCATAGAGATCTACCAATTTCTTTGGCTCTAGTCTTCACCTCTTCATCTTTTAATTAATTAATTAATTTAAGAAAATTTTTTATTTTAACATTTTTGCCTTTATTTACATGTGTATACATTATTTGGGCCACCTTCTCCTCCTAAACCCACCCCCCAGCCTCTGGGCAGAATCTGTTCTACCCTCTTGTTCTCTGATTTTGTTGAAGAAAAAAAGATAGTAAGAAAATGTGGCGTTTTTGCTAGTTTGAATAAGGACATCTATACAGGGAGATTCTTTGTGTTGTTTCCATGCATTACATTCCATGTAATGTGTATTACAACCCAAATTGGTTCATCTCTACCAGACCTCGTCACAACTTCCTAGTCCTCTTCTCATAGTGGCCTCTGCTAGGTTACTATATTCATTCCTATACAGTGAACACATAAACCACATTCAAGTCTTTGGCTTTCCTCCCTTTCCCTATTCCTTCCATGTGTGTTCTCCCCTTAGTGTGTGGCCCATGTCTTATAATATTACTGTATTTGTTTTAGGTCTGTAATCTGCAGATGAGGGAGAACATGTGATTTTTGATCTTGTGAACCTGACTAGCTTTGCTTAAGATGATGTTCTCCAGTTCCATCCATTTACTTGTAAATGACAAAATTTCATTCTTCTTTGTGGCTGAATAAAATTCTATTGTGTATAAGTACCATATTTTCTTAAATCATTTATCAGTAGTGGGGCATCTTGGCTGTTTCCATAGCGTGGCTATTGTGAATGGTGCTGCAATAAACATGGGTGTGCAGGTGCTTTTGTAATAACCTGAGTCATACTCCTTGGGGTATATCCCTAGGAGTGGTATTGCTGGATCACATGGCAGATCTATGTTTAGTTTTTTAAGACGCCTACATTGTTTTCCAAAGTGGTTGTACTAGCTTACATCCTACAAGCAGTGTATTTAGGGTTCCTTTTCCTCTGTATCCTTGCCAACATTTGTTGTTGGTGTTCTTGATGGTAGATATTCTAACAGGTGTAAGGTGAAATCTTAGTGTGGTTTTGACCTGCATTCCTTTATAGACAGTGATGGTGAACATTTTTTCGTGTGTTTTTTAGCCCATTTGGACTTCGTCCTTTGAAAAAGTTCTGTTTAGTTCAGTTGCCTATTTCTTTATTGGTTCATTGATTTTTGGGGAGTTTAGTTTTTTGAGTTCCTTATATATTCTGGTTGTCAGTCCCTTGTCTGATGTACAGTTAGCAAAGATTTTCTCCCATTCTGTGGGTGGCCTTTTCAATTTAGAGACCATTTCTTTTGTTGTGCAGAAACTTTTAAATTTCATGTAGACCCATTTGTCAGACCTTTATCTAAGTTGCTGGGATGCTGGAGTTCTACTGAGGAAGTTCTTGCCTATACCTTTTGCTTCCAGAGTATTCCCTGCTCTTCCCTGTACTAACTTCAGAGTTTCGGGTCTGATATTAAGGTCCTTGATCCACTTTCAGATGATACTAGTACAGGGATGGACCTAGTTTCAGTTCTGCAGGCAGATAACCACTTTTCCCAGCAACATTTGTGAAGAGGCTGTCTTTTCTCCATCATAGTTTTTGGCACGTTTGTTGAAGATTAGGAGAGTGTAGTTGCATGGATTCATATCCAGGTCCTCTATGTTCCACTGGTCTTCATATCTGTTTTTGTGACAGTATGATGCTGCTTTTATTGCTATGGCTCTGTAGTATAGTTTGAAGTTGGGTATTGTGATACCTCCAGCATTGCTCTTTTTGCTCAGTATTGCCTTGGCTATTCATGGTCTTTTGTGTTTCCAAATGAACTTTAGGGTAGATTTTTCAGTCTCTGTGATGAATGTCATTGGGATTTTGATGAGAATTGCATTAAACATGTTGATTGCTTTTGGTAGTATAGGCATTTTTACTATGTTGGTTCTGCCAATCCATGAGCATGGGAGATCTTTACACCTTCTATAGTCTTCCTCAGTCTCTGTCTTCATTGGTTTGTAGTTATCCTTGTAGAGGTCATTCACATCCTTTGTTAAGTTTATTCCTAAGTATTTGATTTTTTTTTTTGAGGCTGTTGTAAATGGAGTAGTTTTCCCATATTCTTTCTCAATCTGTTCATTGTTGGTATATAGAAAGGCTACTGATTTTTGTAGGTTGATTTTGTATCCTGCTACTTTGCTGAAGGTGTTTATGGTGTATAAGAATTTTTGGGTGGAGTTTTTCCAGTCTTTAAGGTATAAGATCATGTCATCTGCGAATAGGGATAGTTTGACTACTTCTTTACCCATTTCTATTCCTTTTATTTCTTCTTCTTGCCTTTTTTGCTCTGGCTAGGAATTCCGGACTGTGTTGAATAGGAGTTGGGAGAGTGGGCATCCTTGTCTCATTCCTGACTTTAGTGGAAATGGTTTCAGTTTTTCTCCATTAAGTATGATGTTGGCTATTGGTTTGTCATATATAGCCTTTACAATGTTGTGGTACATTCCTTGTGTTCCTAGTTTTCTTAGAGCTTTTATCATGAAATGGTGTTGAGTCTTGTCAAAGGCTTTTTCTGCATTTATTGAGATGATCAAATGGTTTTTGTATTTGCTTCTTAATGTGCTGATTTATTTATGTTGAACCATCACTGGGATGAATTTGAATTAGTTGTGGTGAATGATCTTTCTGATGTGTTGTTGGATTCAGTTTGCCATTATTTCATTGAGGATTTTTGCATCGATGTTCATTAAGGACATTGGCCTGTAGTTCTCCTTTTTGGATGTGTTCTTGTCTGGTTTTGGGTTGAGGGTTATACTGACTTCATACTTAAGCAGTGTTTCTTCCCTTTCTATTTCATGAAAAAGTTTAAGGAGTGTTGGTATTAGTTTTTCTTTAAATGTCTTGTAGAATTCAGTGGAGAGTCATTCAGGTCCTGGACTTTTCTTTTTTGGGAGACTATTGGTGCTTCAATTTCAGTATGTGTTATAGATCTGTTTAGGTGGTTAATATTCTCCTGGTTCAGTTTTGTATGGTCATAAGCATCTAGAAGTTTGTCCATTTCTTCAAGATTTTCCAATTTATTTGAGTGTAGGTTCTCAAAGTAGTCCCTGATGATTTCCTTGGTGTTTGTTGTTATCGCCCCTTTTTTGTTTCTCTTTTTACTAATTTGGGTCTTTTCCCTCCTCATTTTAGTCACATTTGTCAGGAGCTTGTCAATCTTATTTTTTTCAAAGAACCAATTTTGTATTTTTTTTGGTCTCTACTTTATTAATTTCGGCCCTTATTTCTATTATTTCTCTCCTTATGCTTATTTTGGGTGTTGCTTGTTCTTGTTTTTCCAGGAGTTTGAGACGTAGCATTAGGTCATTTATTTTAGATCTTTCTGTCCTTTTAATATATACACTCATGGCTATAAACTTTCCTTTTAGGAGTGCCTTTGCTGTGTCCTATATGTTCTGGTAGGTTGTGTTTTCATTTTCACTTAATTCCAGGAACTTTTTGATTCCCTTTCTTACTTCTTTTATGACCCAGTAATTGTTGAGTAATGTGTTGTTCAACCTCCATTTGTTTGCATATTTTCTGCTGCTGCTTTTGTTCTTTAGTTCTAGTTTTATTGCATTGTGATCAGATAGTATGCAGGGAGTTATTTCAATTTTCTTACTTTTGTTGAGGGTTGCTTTGTGCCCTAAGATGCGGTCTGTTTTGGAGAAAGTTCTATAGGCTGCTGAGAAGAATGTATATTGTGCCATTGTTGGATGAAATATTTTGTAGACATCAGTTAGGTCCGTTTGATCTATGGTGTCATTTAGTTCTAGAATTTCTTTGTTGATTTTTTCTCTGGATGACCTATCTGTTGGTGATAGAAGGGTATTAAAGTCTCTCAGTACCACTGTGTTGGAATCTATATGTGCTTTTAAGTCCTTCAGTGTATGTTTGATGAAATTGGGTGCATTGACAAGGTGTGCATATAGGTTGATGATTGTTATTTCCTTTTGATATGTTGTCCCTTTTATTAGTAAGAAGTGACCTTCTTTGTCTTGTTTGACTAATGTATGTTTGAAGTGTACTTTGTCTGATATAAGTATTGCTACTCCTGCCTGCTTTGGAGGGCCATTAGCTTGGTAAATCTCTTCCAGCCTTTCACTCACCTCTTCATCTTAAGGTGGTGAGTTAGCTGTGTTGCTTTGATTCTGCAGAGCTCTAGTCCCTTAGACTATTGAGGTGGACAGAGAAACATGCTGTGATCAAGTAAGTGTAGGAAAAGCTGTGGGAAATAAAGATACTCAAGACTCCACTCAAAGCCTTACACAAGGTAGTGCATGGGGCATCTGGAGGAGGCAAGTTAGGGAGGATGAGCAGTATTCCCAGCACCCTGTGGATCATTGAACCCAGTGGGTCATGGGACCTTTTTTAGTGTGGTTTGAAACACATTTTATGAAAGCTGGGAGTTTTCACAAGCATCTTCTGTGATTCTATTAATTTTAAAGAAGGAAATACTTCATGGACTATCTTCTACATCATATTGTCTAACTGGCATAGGTTAAAACAGGTATAGGTACTCTGGGGAGGGAGCACTGATATGCATAATTCTTGTTTAGTCCTGTGCTGTCATATCTATGTATCTTACCTCTTTATGACCTTATTCTAAAACATCCTTATCTTGGATGGAAGAGGTAATTTTTCAGTTGAAGTAGCATTTCCATTATAAAATGATCCATTTTAGTAAAAAATTAATAACTTTGAGCTTAGAAATAAAGCCCCATTTCCTTCTACCTACTTTTTTATAGTTTGTAGAAGAAACTCAAACCAACAGAAAGTCAGGCTAACAGCAAGGGGTGCCTAAACACAAGATACTCTTTCAAATATCAGTTTAAGCTTCCTGTGTCAAGTATACAATCAGGCAACTTTTCATTCTTATTATTATTTTTTTTGTAGCACTGGTGTTTGAACCCAGGGCCTCATACCCAAAAACCAGGCAACTTTTGTGTTTTTAATTACTTCTAGGTCACAGAAATATATACAATGCTTTTAGATTTAGAGTTTTGTTTCTACAGTTTTTGTTGCTGATAGAATAACAAGGGTGTGTGTGTGTGTGTGTGTGTATGTGTGTGTGTGTTAGTTTTAACTCATGACCCCAGAAAAAGATACCCAATGCCTCTCTCTTTGAACTTTGCTTTCCAATAGGGGAGACAGATAGTGATCAAATAAATTCTCCAATGTCACATAGTGATAAATGTTACAAAAAATGAAAGCAGGACAAAAGGATATAAAATAATAGGGAACATTACTGTGATACTTTAGACAGTGTGGTCAGGGATGCCTCACTGAGAAGGTACCACTTGACTAGAGACTCAAAAGCAGAAAGGAGTGAGCCATGTAATTTTGAGCAGTGGGTTATCTGCACAGAGAGTAGTCGGGGGAGAAGACCTGTAGTAGGCATGGCATAGGAGTACCAGTATATCTAGGGTTTAGGAATCAAGGAAAGCATCTTGAGCAGGGTCTGGAGCAGGGGCAGGAACCATGTTATGGAGGGTTTCTGGCCATGGTGAGGTTTGAGAATTTGGGACCAAAGAGATGTGTCACTGGAGCTGGAAGAAAGAGGGCACGATCTGATTTATATGTATTTGAAAAGGCTGGGTGGAAAACAAGCTGCACAGGGTTCACTCTTCCTTGAGAGTGAAGCAAGGAGTCCTTGGAGTGTTTAGATGCAGATGTTTTGGATCAGGATGGTGAGAGGTGGTCATTGTCCAGATATATTCTGAAGAAAAACCTGATAGGTGAGCTGCAGGGCATAGAGAACAATCAGGAAAGACTCCAGCTAGGTGAATAGCAATACCCTTTATTGCAATAGAGACCTGCAGAGGAGTAGGCTTGGTTCAGAATTTAAGGTGTGAGGTGCACTATAGACCTCCAAGGGAAGTCTAGCAGGCACTAGGATGCATTTGTCTGAGTTTCAGAGAGGAGACTGAGGCTAGACAGATAAAATGGGAGAGTCGGAAGTTTCCAGAGAATTTTTAAGTCCTGGGACAAGACAAGTTTTGCCAGGTGTGGACAGGGTGGCCTGAAGCTCTGTAGCATTAGAGGCTGGGGAGACAGACGGAAAGAATAGATGTACTGGAAGCCAGGCTTTTCTAGAGGAGCCCTCAGCTCTTCTGTAGACTGAGGAGGTGAGCCAAGGAAGACTTCAGAATTGACTGCTGGATTTGTGACCCAGGGATTTTGCACACCTTTGCAGGAGTGGTTTCAAAAGGTTTGGGTGAAAACCCATTATGGGCCCATGAGATGGTCCAGGTAGTTCTTACAAAGAGCTTTGCCAAAAAATGGAACAGAGAAACTGATCAAAGGAGAATATGAGACCAAAAAGGGTAGTTACCTGTGATTTATTCAAAGTGGGGAAGAGAACAGTATATTATCCTAGGAGCACAGTTACTGAAGGACTGACAGGTCGAGAGTAGGTTGCTTCCTATTCTGGGTCCTAGAAGAGCAGCTGGTTTTTGAGACGCCAGGCAGTTCCTCTATTGTCATAGGAGGAAAGGAAGGGATGAGGGTACTCATATTAGGAGGTCAGTATCCGGGTGGATGATGTTGCTTGTTCAACAAAGCTATTAATAAAAATCAGTGTGAGGACTTAGTCAGGTGAAAGTGCCTAGCTCACCTCTAGGGAAGACATACTTCTTAATGTCAATGAACGTATTTCATTCCACAGTGACTTTTACCCATTTCTTAGAAAAGTTGCACTTAGATTAGCTTTCTTCCCCTGTCTACTTGATTACATTCATAAAACAGCTTAGATACTCATTTTCTAATAATTGTGATCTTGTTGCCTTGATGATTCTATTTTAAATTTATTATATGTTCTTTTCAGTACCATATTAATATTAATGTAAATATTTTTACAGATAGAGAATATATAATGATTTAAAACATACAATTTATAAAATTCCTATTTATACTTACTTTTTACAGCAAAAATTTTGATTCCTATTTTTACAAATAATGGTTTGTCTTTCTTAGGTATATTTCATTAAAGAACATAATATTGTTGCACCATATAAAATAGAAAGGGTAAGTAAAGCTTTTCACATATTCCTAGAAATTTATACAGTGATTTTGAGCAATAATACTTTGTGACTCTATTAATATCTTTAATCAAATATAATAATAGGCTGGGGGTGTGGCTTAAGAGTGGTAGGGTGCCTGCCTAATAAGCACGAGGCCCTGAGTTCAAACCCCAGTATTGCCAAATGTAATAATATTGGGTACCTCAAAGCTTATTACCACACATTTATAATACAGTTACCCAAGGCAGCTACAGACTTTAGTCCAAGAGAATTCAAGTAACTTTTTTACTTGAAAAAAATGTGCCTATTAGGGAAAAGAGCTTACATGATTAGATTAGAAGATGAAATCAGAAAATGTATATTTATACATTATTAATACTGGGTATTACTGAGAATATATTGGCCAGTCTTTACAAATGTAGGAAGACTGAGCTGGGCACTGGTGGCTCACACCTGTAATCCTAGCTACCCAGGAGCCAGAGATCAGGTGGATCAGGTTTGAAGCCAACCCAAGCAAATAGTTCTCGAGACCTTATCTCGAAAAAACCCATTACAAAAAAGTGCTGGTGGAGTGGCTCAAGGTATATGCCCTGAGTTCAAACCCCAGCACTGCAAAAAAAAAACCCAACAAAAACAAATTTAAGTGAGGGGGGCAGAGGGGGATATATGGCCCAAACAATGTATACATATATGAATAAACAATAAAGAAAATAAATAAAGCAAAAAAAAGAAGATTGAAATCATATTATGTATCTTCTCTGACCACTTTGAAATGAAACTAGAACTCAAAACTTCATAGATATATATGTGTCTATTAGACAACACATTCCAAACAACCAGTAGATTAAAAAAGAAACCAGAAGAGAAAATTGATAATATCATAAAATAATTGAAAACAAAAGCAGTATACCAAAGCTTATGGAAACAAAAGCAGTATGGAGGGAATTTTATAAAGATAAATGCCTACATTAAAAGAAAAGAAAGGTGTCAAAATAAAAACCCTAGCACTATACTTTAAAGAATTAGAATAAGAAGAGTAGACTAAGGCAGTGAGTACATAAGATTACAGTGAGTCCAGTAGGTGTGCTCCTTAGAGCTCTCATTTACAGGGGGATGCCAGGCAGAAATGCAGGATTTAGCAGGTACCGGGCAGATGACCTTAAAGAAATATGCTTCTCTTCTGTTGTTTTCATATCTTCTCCTTTCTGCTAGGGCAAAATGGAATATGTCTTTGAATTGGATGTTTCAGGGAAAGTAGAAGATGTTGTGGAGACACTGTTACAGGTAAGTTAGTGACTCACGTAGGCATTCACTAAAGGAGAACTCAGAGCATACTGAGGCAAAAAATGTTTTTTTAATTTCGTATTTCACATTTTCCTATTACCCATATCACAATCTTTTTCCTAAGTATGTTGTAGGTTTACTTGAATATGTTGAATTTAAAAACTATATATTAGGAGGAAGCCATAGACATATCAGAAGTAATCTTGACTGCTGCTAAGTGATAGGATAGTCCATGTTTTTCATTGCTTCTAAAGAAATACTTGATACCATCAGCAAGGAAAGCTAATTGCCTGTGTTTCTGATATTGCAGCTTCACAGAGCCTCCTGCCTTGATAAACTGGGTGACCAAACTGCCATGGTAAGTGTTTCTAATATTGGTTTCTTTGGTAGTAAATAAACTTATATTGGTATTTTGCTTATAAATACTTACATCTAATACTTTTCAAATGGTTCTGTTCTCATAGATAACTGCCATCTTACAATCACGTTTGGCGAGGACATCATTTGACAAAAACAGGTAAATATTTAAAGATTTTTGTTTCCTGATTGGGAAAACAGTGGACATCTTAATCTGTAGGCCTCATTCCACATATGCAAAAGTGATGTGGAACGGGGGGCATGGGTCAGTGGTAGAATGCTTTCCTAGCATGCATGAGGACTTGGGTTCAATGCCCAGAACCACAAGGAGGGAGAAAGGAAAGGAGGGAGGGAGAGAGAGAGAACCAAAACTGATGTTGTCTTAGGAAATGCTCCAGCACTGTTCTCCACCCTACACCTGTCACTCAGGAGGCCTGCTGACTACTTACTGTCTCTCCAGCCCGTCCACTTATCTTCTTTGAACTGTGATTGCCCTATTTCTGAACACCATCACTTCCTACCTACAGCACCATGACAACTTTTAGTCTACCTACCTGACCTTAGTTTTCCCTCTTCTATTCTTCTCTCTGGACTTAATGTCCTTATAAATATGTTCTTCCTAAAGGATCTATTTAATCATCTCACTTGCCTGTTGAAAGTTCTTCAAGATGCTCTTCTGCCTCAGGATAAGTGAACACCTCACCACGGGCTCACCTCTCATGTGACAGCTCTTTCTATTGCTCCCAGTGACTGATTGCGCTCTTGAGTTCTGTGCTCTGTCCGCTTGCAGAAGAGCGGTTCTTGCTGTGCCACATATCCTCTTACCTCTGAGCCGTTGTTCATGTTGCCTGTTGCTTAGAACGTGCACCCTCCATCTCTTTTGCATTTGGCTAACTCTCACTATATTGAACTCATTTTAACTGTCACTTCTTTAAGGAAGACTTTCTTGACCCTTCAAATTGCTTGAAATACTTTCCTGTCACTCCCCATAGGGACTAAGAGAGTATGATCTTGTTGTTCTAATGTTTTTTTTTTTCATTGATTTTCTTGGCTTTATTAAGAATACAATATAATGATACTTGTATATTATCCTATTATCTTGTAGATTTGGGCTGTTTGCATATATTTCACCTCTCATATCCCGGTACTAATTACTGTAGCTTTATGGTAACTAATGCGTTCCGGTGGTGCTGGGCCCCACATCCTACCCACCACGTATTATTTTCCTAACTGTTCTTGGTCTTATTCACTTCTGTGTAAATTCAGGATCAGCTCATAAGAGAAAGCCTGCTAGACTTTTGCTTGTGATTGCAGTAGATTTATAGTCTCTCCACTTATTTAGATCTTTAAAATCTTTATGATTTTCTTTAAAGGTCTTTCCTATCTTCTGTTATACTTACTCTAAGTATTTCATATTTCTGATGGTGTTATAAGTGGCTTGTTATTCAAAGTTTCATTTTCTATTCTTGTTGACATATAGAAGGCAGCAGATTTTTGTGCATTTACCTTGTTTCCATGCACTCTGTGATCAGTTCCATTAACTTTATGTTTATATTCTACATTTGTACAAAATCTTACCCATGAGTTACAAATTTTTGCATATGTAATCATGCTTAGAACAAAGTGGAAAGTATTGGTTGAGTAGATTGAGAAGCTTATGTTTGTAAATGAAATTAGCTTGTAATATTCCATTTTATTGTCTTTGTGAGATTCTGACCTTTATCTTAAATTTTTTATGTGTGAAAAACTTGCCAATAAAGCTATCTGGCTAGTAAGTATTTTTTTGTGTTTATTCTTGATTCTTTTTTCAGTTTCGCTGTATAGCATTGATTTTATTTTTTCCATTTTCATAGAGGCGGGATAGCTTAAGGAACTGGATTGCTGAGGGAAGAATTTTCCTTTCCATCCTAGAAAGGAAAAAGAATAATAATAAGAATTATCTTCCCCTGACCTACTTACAGCATATCATTTTTCTTAGTGATTTAAACTCCATTTCTGGGCCTCAGCATAGCATTCTTGTTAAAAAGTGGCTCACTATGAAAGTTTTAATTTATCTGGTATCCAGAATGTTGGCTGAAGAATTTAGAGGGGAATTTTTTTGCAGTATAAAATGAAGTATTCCAGTATTGTTTCCTTTCTATAAAAACTGTGGAAGTGTAAAGTTGCTAAGCTTTCATCATATTTCTAAGGAAACACTTGTTATCGAAAAAATATAACTGTGTTTCCCCTACTCTTTATTTCGAAAGTTTTGAGATCCTCACAAGTTGGAAGAAGAAAATAATGACCACAGATAACCCATGATATTCCAGGTGTTGGTTTGTTAATATTTTGCCAAAATTTGCTTCATATCTTGCAGCCTCATGAGCTCATTCATAGGTCACTCTGTGTGTATGTATATATTTTATTTTTGTTTATGTGTATCTGTGTACACAGATGGCCTTCTATATTTGTCTGTTCTGCATCTGTGGACTCTACCAACCACAGGTTGAAAATACTTGGAAAAAAATGCTTCTGTACTGAACAGATGCAGGTTTTTTTTTCTTGTCATTATTCCCTAAATAATACAGTAAAACAACTATTTTTATAGCATTTAAATTGTAATAAGTAATCTGTAGTGTTTTACAGTATACAGGAGGATGTGTATAGGTTATATGCAAATACTGTATAAAAAACTTAAGCACCTGTGGATTTTGGTGTATATATGTATGTGTGTGTGTGTGCATGTATGTGTGTGTATGTATATGTATTTGTGTATCTTTATATAATATGTACATGCATATTTGCATGTGTTTATATTATGTATAAAATTTTCTAATTTTTAATATAATGTATATGCATGCATACATGCATTTGAGTACATACGGGTTCAGGCATATGACGTCACTTCAGAATTTTTTTTAAGGTGCTCGGGATTGAACCCAGGACTTTTCACATACTAAGTAAGTGCTCCACTGAGCCACACCCCTGGTAAGAAATATTCTTCAGAGTAAACTGGTATTCAATTAGAACTAACTAGAAAGTTTTCAATCTTTCCATACATAGATAGGTAAACTCTTGTTAATTAGAACGTATTTGGTAATCCATTTTATTTCACCATACAGTTTTTTAACTTTATTTACTTTTTATTATTTTAATAATATTATTATACTGGGGGTACATTGTGACATTTACAAATGTTCTTAAAATATCTCATAGTTGAATTCATCCCCTCCATCATTTTCCCTTATTTCCCTCCCCCATTCTTAGAATAGTTTCAACAGGTCTCATTTTTCCATTTTCATAAATGAGTACGTAATATTTCTACCATATTCACCTTCCTACACCCTGTCCTTATATCTTCTGTCATCCCACTGGTACCAACCCCTACATGGGTTTAAGTCATTTGAAAATAAGTTGCAAGATATGGTGACATTGTCTTTGTAAGTTCTTCAGCATGTATCCATTAAAGGGTCATTCTCCTATATGTCTTGATACCTTTATTGGATTCAGTTAGCCATACTTCCCTAATATTGTCTAATACATAGCTCCAATATTCACATTTTTCCCATTTATATCCCAAAATATCTTCTGAAAATACTTTACTTTGGAATGAGTTTAGAGTTTGAAAAGACAGAAGGATCGTTCAGTGTTCTCTTTATCCCTCATCAAGTTTCCTCCATTGCTATGTTTAGTGTGCAGGTGCTGTCATCTTTGCTTGGGCATATTTGTAGATCTTTGCTTGATGCTACTGAAAATTTATTTTCCAACTATTTGGTATAGGCTTACAAATAAATATGGAAAAGTATAAATTCTTACGTTTGTATTGACCTGGTATCCTGCAGCTTCCCCGAATTTACTCACTAGTTCTAGAGAGATTTTTAATAGAGTCCATAGAGTTTTCATATGTTATTATTTAATCTGTGAATAATACATTTTCAAACAAATCTCTATGGCTTTTATTTTCTATTCCCCATCTCATTGTACTGTTTCCTTAGGAAATGCAGTGGGAACAAATACCCTTGCCTTATTCTAAATCTTATAGGAAAAGAGTTTAATGTTTATAATTAGAGCAATGTTAGCTATAGTTTTTTCTTAGATGCCCTTTATCACAATGAGGAAGCTCCTTTTTATTTCTAGTTCGTTTAATTTTGTCAAATGCTTTTTATGCATTAATGGACATTGTCATAGCTTTCCTTCTTTATTTTGTTAATTTTATGAATTATATTTTATTATTTTTAATGTTTTATCAACTTTGTATTCATGGGATAAATCTAATTTGACATGATGATTTACTGTGTTTGTTATATATTGCTCGATTTGCTTTGCTAGTATTTTGTTAAGTGTTTTTGTGTCTATATTCATGAGGGATATAGCTCTGACATTCTCTAGAGATGTTTGTCAGGTTTTGGTACACAGTTCTGCTGACCTTACAAAATAGGTTTGGAGATCTGTTTACAGAAAAAGTGAATGGGATTGTCATTATTTCTTTTTTACATTTTTAGTAACATTTATTGATAAAGCTATATGAGGATTGAAGTATTCTTGGAGCTTTATTTATTTTTAATTTTTGAGACAGAATTTTATTTATGTAACTCATCTAACTTGAGATCCTCCTGCCTCATCCTCCTGAGTGCTGAGATTATAGATGTGTGTTGCCACACCCAGCTTAATTTATTTTTAAACCAGGCATAGGACTATTTAGTTTGTCGGTTTCTTCTTGTATTTGTTTTGGTAAGTTGTATATTAAAAAAAAAAAAGTGCCCATTTTATTTATGTTGCCAGATTTATTGGTTTGTATTTGTTAAAGTCCTTTTTTTTCTTTTTGGCAGTACTGAAGTTTGAACTTAGGGCCTCATGCTTGCCAAGCAGGCTCTCTTACTGCTTGAGTTACTCTACTCTTTTTTTTTATGATGGGGTTTTTCAAGATAGGGTCTTACCAACTATTTGCCTGGGTGGGCTTTGAGCCATGATTGTCCTGATCTCTGCCTCCTCAGTAGCTAGGATTATGGGCATGGGCCACCGGCACCCTGCCTAAAATCCTTTTTAATGCTTCCAGAACCTGCAGCAGTGACCTGTCACTTCTTACATTGATATTTGTGTTTTCTCTTTTTTTTCTTTTAACAATATTGCCAGATGTTACCAATTTTGTTAACTTTTCAAATAACAGCTTTGAAATGTGTTCTTACTTGTGTATTTTTCCATTTTATTTAATGTTGATTTTTACTTTTCTGGTTTCCTTTCGTCAGCTCATGAAAACAGAGTAGCCTTCCATTATCTTTCTAAGAACAAAGTCTAGATTGCTGATTTTGTAATAGAAGCACTTAAACTTGTAAAATTTCTAAGTACCACTTTGATTCTCACAAGTTTTGATATGTTATATTTTCATTATCATTTATGTAAAAATACTTTGTAATTTACTTTGCCATTTTTTCATTGACCATAGGTTATATTAGAAGTATGTTGTTTAATTTTATAGATATATTGTTGCTGATTACTAATTAATATTTCCTGGTCAGTATATTCTATATGATATACTTTTCATTCTTTTGGTATTTGTTGATATTTGCCTTATGCCCAGCATGTGGTCTGTTTTGGTGAAATTTCATATGTTGTTGAAAGGAATGTGTGCTCTGTAGTTGTTGAATATAGTGTACTATAAGTCCTGTTGACTGATGGTTGTTCAGATCATGCATACTTTGTTGTTTTCTCAATTAGAGAAGGATATTAAAATTGCCAGTGATGATTATGGAATTGGTTTTTCCCCTAGTGTGTTAATTTATATGTTTTGAAATGTGAAGTTCTTTTATGATGTTTACATAATTTAGATGTATAATGTCTTCCTAATGATTGATCTTTCATCATTATGAAATGTCCCTTTTAATCTTCAATGTTTTTTGTCTTGGTGTACTTCAGGTTGGCACACCAGTTTTGTTGCGTTGTGATTGCATAGTGTATCTTTTTCCATCCTTTTATGCTTAACCTGTCTGTGTCTATACTCCGTTTCTAAAACATACACACTTTATAGTTGAGTCATATTTTGTGCAGTCTGACAATCTCTGATTTTTAATTGGAATGTTGGATAACATCATAATATAATTACAGATATATTTGGTTTTAAGCCCACTGGGTTGATATTTGCTTCTTAGTATCTTGTTTTCTTTTTTTTCCCCTTATTTTGGATAAATCTAATATTTTTCTGTCCTCTGTTTTATATACTCTGTTTATTTTTTAGATACATTACTTTGTGTTATTTTTAGTGGTCAATATGTACTTTGTACCATTGAGTACCTTCAAATAATATTATATTATGCTACTTTAGAACAATTCAAGACCTTCACTAAAGTGTATTTCTGTCCGTTTAGCCTCTCCTACTCATTGTGCTCTTTTTTTGTCTTATATTTTCTACACATTCCGTGAATCCCACAATACATTATTGGTATTTAGGTTTAAAAAGCCACAAGTTTTCTGAGAAATTAGAGACATATGTGTTTGCATATAAATAAAAATAATTGTTTTCTATTTGGATATTTAAGTGTTTATTTTTTTTCTCATGATCCTTTCTTTTTGTGGATCACATGTTTCATCTGGTATTTAACACAACAAGGGGATTGGACTTTGAGCACATGATAAAAGCCAGAGCACACAAGGGAGGGGTGAGGATAGGTAAGACACCTAAAAAATTAGCTAGCATTTGTTGCCCTCAACGCAGAGAAACTAAAGCAGATACCTTAAAGCAACTGAGGCCAATAGGAGAAGGGGACCAGGAACTAGAGAAAAGGTTAGATCAAAAAGAATTAACCTACAAGGTAACACACATGCACAGGAAAACAATGCAAGTCAACTCCCTGTATAGCTATCCTTATCTCAACTAGCAAAAACCCTTGTTCCTTCCTATTATTGCTTATACTCTCTCTTCAACAAAATTAGAGATAAGGGCAAAATAGTTTCTGCCGGGTATTGAGGGATTAGGGGGGAGAGGGAGGAGGCGGAGTGGGTGGTAAGGGAGGGGGTGGGGGCAGGGGGGAGAAATGACCCAAGCATTGTATTCACATATGAATAATAAAACAATAAAAATTTAAAAAAAAAGAACTTTTGGTAGCATTTCTTACAACGAAGATCTGTTGGAGATTCATTCTGTCAGTTCTATCTATCTCCAAATGTCTTCATTTCACCTTCATTTTTGAAGGATAGTTTTTGGATATAGAATTCTGGGTTGATTGGTTTTTTTTTTTCTGTCATATTTTAAACATTTTCATTCCATCATTGCTTGTGCAAAGTCACATGATTTGTATTGTTGTTGCCTATTGGTAGAATGTGGTTTTCTTTGTGCTTACTCTGCTTGGCGGATTCAGAATATGTAAGAGGAAAACAAAAATGCTTTTTCCTAGTCTACTTTTTTTCATTCCTTTTTCTCTTTTTGTTTCAGTTAGGACATTGACCTGTTTTTTTAGCTTCACTGGACCTTCCCTCCCCTGTGTGTGTTGTCTGTTGTTAAGCTTGTTTAATTCACTCTATTATCCATATTCTCATTTCTGCATTTTTTGGGGTTCTTTTTTTTTTTTGTACAGGTTCTGTTTCTCTGCTGAAGTCCTCAGTCTCTTCACACATGCTATCTACCTCTTCTTCTAGGTTCCTTGAGCATATTATGCTTGCCATCAAGTCTCCTGATACATATAACACTTGGGTCCCCTTCTGTTGAGTCTTTCCTCTCTTGAGCATAGGTCATATTTTCTTGCTCCTTTATGTATCTTAGTTGTTTTTGAATTGTGTGAAAGTTTGTTTAAAAAAGTACTGTAAAGATAAACTAAATAATATTTACCTCCAGAAATGGTCATGCCCACCCATTACCCTGTCGGGTGGCTTTTACTGGGTGGCTCTGATGGATTAAGGCTTTGTTGCCACAGTGGTGGCAAGTGCACCACCAAGTGCACCACTACCTGCACTTGGTGAACGGGGAGATCTAGACTTTGTCTTCAACAGGACTTAGGCTCTGAGCACTTGAGTAATTCGGGAGAGACTTCTATACTTTAAGGTGGAGCCATCAGCTTTCTAAATGGTGGGATATGAGTCTTGCTTTCCACCCCACTAGAGAGCATTTTCACATCTCTGGGAGCTTTCTTTGCCCTCTAGTCCCACTGTGGCTTCTCTTCCTCTGAAGATCTGTCTTGTACTGCATCCCTTATCCCTACCTGTAATAAAGCCACTTTTCTTCTGCTACTTACCTGTTGGTCTCTTCTAAATTCATTTACTTTTCTTTGCATCTGCAGTTTTCTGATGGGCTTAAAAAAATATGAGGATCATTCAGCTTACCAGTTGGTTTTAGTTGTAGGGTAAGGACTTCAAGGGTCTCTTTTAGCTTTCATATCCTAACTTGAAGTAAAGTGTGCCCCTCTATGTTATGTCCTATTACTTATAAGGAGATTTCTTTCTTTTTTTCATTTTTAGTACTTGGGCTTAGACCAAGTATTTGCTAAGCAAATCCTCTATCTCTAAGCTCCCCTCACTCCCAGATTTGCTTTTAGTCCAGTTATTTAACTAATTGCTCTAAAATACTGACAGTTGGTTGTTTTCCCTCTAACTTACTTTTTCTTTCTTTTTTTTTTTTTAGTAAAGCAGAACCAGATAGACATTTTTGATGAAATATCTTAGGAATGGGTAGCACAAAGCTCATCTTTGACTTGTTTTATAGCAATAAATCCAAAAGCCTAACCTTCAAGTAATTGTAATTATGTAGTCAGAGCCTGATAAGATGTCCTGTGAAATAAATACCACTTATGTCAAAGGGGTTATATAGCTATACTCATAGGGTTTTATTTGTTTGTTTACTTACTTGTTTTTGCTGACTGTGTAGCCCAGACTGGCCATGAATTCATGATCTTCCTGCCTTTGCCTACTGAATGCTGATATTATAGACATACACCACCACATCTAGCTCTAAAAATCAGTCTTAGTCAAAAAAAAATAGATAATTACATAAATGTAGGACTAGTTTCAAAGCCAGTTTATTATAGGAAGAGTAAGAATTCAGCTAAATAGTTACTTGATGTTATTTGTCTATTTTTGCCTTTGTAATGCAGAATCTCTTCTGTTTTATATAAAAAAAATCAGGTTATCATTATGTTACCTAAAAGAATGTCAGCTAATTCATATGGCCATTTTTCTCATTTAAATGTACTGTTTACACAAGTATCACAAAAACTCACCCTGTAGATAAACCTAGCACGTAGATCAATTTCTGATTTTTCTTACTTTTGATGTAAAAACATCTTTTTAGATTCCAGAATGTTTCTGAAAAGCTGCATATGGAATGCAAGGCAGAGATGGTGACTCCTCTGGTGACAAATCCTGGACATGTGTGCATCACAGACACTAACCTGTATTTTCAGCCTCTCAATGGGTACCCGGTACGTAAACCACAGGGCCATGTACAGAACTGCCTCCATCTTTAAGCTTGGTATTCTGGGCATTTGACATCACAGTTACTGTGTCCTTCAAAATCACCCCCCACCCCTAGCACTTGTGTGTCTTTGCATGCTCCCTATGTAATCCTGGTGCGTGGTTACAGGGATTTAAACTTCTCTATTTGCAGTCAGTCTGGGGCTCTTGCTTTCAGTGTTGTGGAAAGAAACTCTGTCCCTCCTGATTTTTGTTAAGGGTCAGTGGAGATTTATATCTCTCTGCTAGGAAGCACTTCTGGAAGAGACCAAGGAAATACACTGCAATTACTAAGAAATGGATATTTAATGTATATTTTCCTATGTGAACACTTCTTATTTCTCTTTAATTACAAACACAATCAGTAGATCTGCATCTTTCTTGAAGCAGCACTGGCCTTCTTGGTTTGTATGCAGGTGTGTGTAGAGATGCTGTAATCTGGCTTTGTAGGGTTTCTTCTATAATTTTGGTAACAATATTCTCTTTCACAAGGACTTTGGACTTAAGACTAGACCAGAAAATAAAGATTAACTCAGATTTCTACATTAAAACTTGTATGAAAAGAGTCGTTGCTTACCTCGACTTGACCCCTTTTTGGAGAGGCTTATTAAAGAAACAAAAGTCCTGACATTCTCTGGCACCGCGCTTGGGCCATTTGGCAGGGCAGCTTAGAGTCAGGAGTGTTCTCCGCAGTAGAAAGCAGCACCTTGGAAATTCTGCATGTTGGTCATAATATGGCACTAAAACAAATAGCTAAGACTTTTGAGTCAGTGAGGATCCTTTTAGGATTCTGTCCACTAGGTGGTGCTGTGTACTCACCAAGCTCTCCAGTAGATGGTGCACTTAGCCAGAAAGACATTCTCTAGTCCTGGGATAAATTGGCTTGGCCACTACCAATATTATCGCTTGGATCAAAAACTTTTAGAAGAATGTGTGCGTAAGTGCCTCAGCCTCAGGATCCATTGTATGGATTGTATGAGACTTGTCCCTTCCCAAAGCCCTGGGCCAGGACCCTCGGCCTGACTGGGAAGTCTCTAAGGCATTTTCTACTATTGTATACATGGCTTCTGCCACCTCCACCTCCCTCTCACTTGGGAGAAAGCGTTGCCTTTTCTACCTTGATTCTCTTACTAGTATTTTAAAGTTCTAGAGAAACAAGAAAAATTTCTTCTTTAATAAAGAAACGTTTTGGAGGCCTGTCTTATACTGTAGTAATTTGTGACTTTTAATTACACTGTAATTGTTAAGAAGATAAAAGACAGGATTCTTAAAAAAAAAGATGTATATCAGTACTAAGAAAATCAAAAGATAGCAAAATTCGTGGTAGTTAGAGCAGAACATAAAACTAGATATATATCTTGTCTCAAGATTTTCTAGTTGTTCACTTGAGACACATTGGGAAGGAAAAATTTGGTCCTTTTTTTCATCTTTATGATACTAAAGAACAGCTTCTAATTGTGTAACAATGGTGATGTTTGACATTATCTTCACTTTTTAAAGAAACCTGTGGTCCAGATAACACTCCAAGATGTCCGCCGCATTTACAAAAGGAGGCACGGCCTCATGCCTTTGGTAAGTTCAAGTGTACTCGTACCTCTCAGTGGATGGTTTGCATGCCTTCACTTTAGCTGACTGTTTATTGACTTAGAAACCCTCCCAGCATGCCTGAAAAGGTATGTTGTATTATAGGCAAATGGAATGTGGCTCTTTCTGTTCTTTCTTTTGGATAACCTGGACAGTGACAAAGGCATAGGAGGTTCTGTGGCAAAAACATTTTTGGTTCCAAGAATAAGAGAGCTAGACAGCCCTTGAGTTTCTCACTACTAAATTCTTAGTGTTTCTGGGTTTAGGTCAGAATAGTGTTTGCAGAATAATCTAGTGCTCCTTGCTTCCACCCTGTCACTGTAGCTAGGTCTCAAAGTCAAATATTAGAAGATTTCAAGAAATTAACTCTTTAGTGGAGCTGTAGTGTAGTCACAGTTAACTTACATTAAGTAAGCCTTTGGATTTAGAGGGAAAGAATTGGGAAAATAACCATTTAAATCATATGGGTAGTGCTTCTCATCATTTCCCTCCATAAGCATACGTTCATACTTGTATTTGTCTAAACATTCACTTTAGAAACCATTCCCTACAGAAGGTGTGATGCCAAAGGGTTTTGAATTGACATCAGTATAAATTAATTTTTTCTCCTTTGAAGGTAGACTAATAACTTAGTGTCATTACAAAAGCATGGAATATTAGCCATAATTTTTGTGTTTTTAATATGTGAAATTTAACTGTTTTCCTGCCTTTTTATGTAAAGGGTACCTTACCATTTCCAGTGCTATAACAGAGAATCAGGGAAAGAGATATTATTAAAAAAAAAATCTGCTCCTTTGGGTTTAGAGGAGTAGTCATGAAAAGAAATGACATTAAATTAAGTGCCTTCTTTGTGCTGGAAAATTTATATACAACATTCATTTAATTTATTTGCTATCACAATCCCTGTGAAGTAGATGATCTCATATGTTATAAATAAAGAGATTGAGATTCTAGGTGTTAACTTCTCAAGTTCCTTAGCTAGAGAATTAAAATAGTCTGAATTTGAATCCAGTACAACTCTGGGCTTTTATCCTTTGTCAGCTCCTATCCTGAATCCTGAATTAGCCTTCTCAGTACAATATTCACAAAGCTCATCATTCGCTTTTTTTTCCCTTTCCTTTTCTTTCTTTCTTCTTTTTTTTTTTTTTTTTGATCACACTACTGTAACCCAAGCTGGCCTGGAATTTGTGATCCTCCTGCCTCAGTCTCCTGCGTGCTGGGATTATAAACACACAAGCTCATCGTTTTCTTAAATAATAAGTGTAATTTATTAATTGAGTGTATTCTTCATTTATCAATTTGTTAGGTGTAAATCATTATTAAATTTACACAAGAAAGCTTAATAATTGTGTTTGGGAAGGCTCTGAAGGCATGGATCAGCTAATTTTGAATTTCAAAATAATAAGCTCAAAGTATTATCAATGAAAACATTCAGCACCAAAAAGGATTTTATAGTTTACCTAAATGCATGCCTTGTTCTCAAGAGGTTTGTAAGTACAGCATATGTATATATAGAGACAGATATTCCTGAACTCAAGTGTAAATGGAGAACAAGAATGCAAAGATCTAATAATCAAGAGCACCAATGCTTACCTGAAAGGCTTTTGCAATTTTCTACAAAATTATAATAGGGTTGCAAGATGAACATAGTGCTATTTATTTTATTCTTTCTGAATTTATAGGGCTTGGAAGTGTTTTGCACTGAAGACGATCTGTGTTCCGACATCTACCTGAAGTTCTATGAACCTCAAGATAGAGATGACCTCTATTTTTATATTGCCACATACCTAGGTTTGCTGCTCACTTTTTCTTGTGTCTGTTCATATGGAGGTAGTTCTAAAGAGCTGGGATAGCAAGTAACAGAAGAAAAGTGCTCTGTCTAGAAGTTGTTCTCTATGGTCTTCTTATTTCTTCTCATCAGTAATGATAGTTGCCAAAATAGTATCTTAAAAACCAAGGGAAATATAAGTTGATTTTGGTAATAGTTGTGTATTTTAAAAGTAAATTCCTGATAAATTTAAATGTTTTTACTATTTTAATAATCTCCAACTTCAATGGATTATAAAGGCTCTGCCCAAGTATTTTTATATTTACAGTTATGTCGGTATTAGTTTATGAAAACTAAGACTAATTTTCTTTTTTTTTTTTTGTGGTGCTGGGGCTTGAACTCAGGGCCTACACTTTGAGCCACTCCACCATCCCCCTGCCCTTTTTTTGTGATGGGTTTTTTGATATAGGGCCTCGCAAACTATTTGCCTTGGCTGGCTTTGAACCACGATCCTCCTGATTTCTGCCTCCTGAGTCACTAGGATTATAGATGTGAGCTACCAGTGCCCAGCTAGACTAATTTTCTTAATGTGAGGCAATACATTTGTGATCATTGATTGTGGTCTTAATCGCAAAGCTGGAAAGCCATACGAAAAGAGCATCTGAACTGTGTGTGCTCAGGATAGCAGCCTCAGACTAAAATTTACATTTCATTCTTTAGTTCTTCATGGAAAACATGAATTGTCCCACCTTTATCAGAGACAACAACTATATTTTTGTTATAAGCATGAACTTTTTAATTAAGATGTATGGCTAAATTAAATCATACTTCATTTACAAAATTTTCAGATCATTAGAATGGAATTTTTTTTTTTCTTGGTGTGACTGGAGTTTGAACTCAGGAGTTTGTGCTTATAAAGCAAGCGCTCTACCACCTGAGCCACACCTCCAGTCCAGAATGGAATATTTTTTAATTGGATGTTGAGATTTTATAAATGCCATCTAAATTTTTTTTAATGTTCAATGAAACCATTTGTGAGATAGTGAAGTACATCCTCCCTTAAAAAGGAATAGTTTATTTCCAATAAGGAATATATTTTATTTTACACTAGGCTTTCAGTTAATGTTTCTTTTTCACTCATTGAGCTATTTGAGTGTAGCTTTCCTACAAGTTTGCTTTTATCTTCTGGCTCCTGGTTTATTTTAGTTTTCTAACTATAACAGGATGACAACAAAAAACTCAACTTTTATGGTGAATTCAAAAATCTCAGGGCAAAAATGTATCATGTCTTAAAACATCTGTCTTCTCTCAAGCTCTCAGTTCTCTTGGAGGTTGTTCAAACATTTTCAGAGGAGCTTCAGGAGTGGAAAATGAAGGGTGGGAGGAAGTTTTTGATTTTTGATGTCCTTACCTAGTAGCTGATGAGAAAAGAAACTTGGCAAAAGTAAATAAGAATAGATGTTTAATCAGCCTATGAGTTAAGATGCTTGATGTATCTAATAAAAGTAAAAAGTAGAATTTTCTGAACAAAATGGAAAATGCACTTGTTTCTAGGATGGTCCAGTGGCAGGGAGGGAGGAGGGACTCTGGTTCTTCTAGTTTGAGAATTGGTCCTTCTGAACCCACCTCCATTTTTGTTAATAGTTTCTTTTCTTTTTGTTCATCCTCACGTGCATAAATAATAAGTAGTCACTGACAAATTAGTAGTAATAAACTTCTTCAAGATCTAAAAGAAAACTAAGAGATTGTTTTGTTCAGACTTTATAAGAAATGCTGGAAGTCAGCTTTCACAAATGGCTATGTTTTTTTTTAATGCATTAAAACTTTGCACATTTAGAAGAATTCTTTGTTATTTATTGTATAAATATTGTTTATTGCCAGATAATATTTACATATTTGCTTGCTTTGTACTTTTATATTTGTTTGGATTATTTCATATTTTGGGGTTAGAATAATAATTCAACGTATTTAATAATTTCCCTCCTGGATCTTATAGATATTTACTGAGCAACTGTGTTGTAAAAACTACTCAACAGCCTACCTTTCTTTTACTTAAAATGTATCTTTCAGAAGTTTGTGGAAGGGTATATGTTGTGAGCATCTAGTTCTTAGTGCTAAGTGAAAGTTAGCCTAGCACTTATGAGGTGAAGTGACAAGCGGTGGCCTCTGTCCCTGCAGAACACCACATGGCAGAACACACTGCCGAGAGCTACATGCTGCAGTGGCAACGAGGGCACCTGTCCAACTACCAGTACCTCCTGCATCTCAACAACCTGGCCGATCGCAGCTGCAACGACCTTTCGCAGTACCCTGTGTTTCCATGGATACTAAATGACTATTGCAGTGCACAACTGGGTAAGTGCTGCCATGTATGAATTCTGACAATGCTGAGTCTGACATGTTCATTTTTATTATTGTTAAAGGAGAGAAAAAAATTATAAAGAAATTAGAACTCACTCAACATATGATGAACAATAGACAGCCTCTTCAACAAATGTTGCTGGGAAAAGTGGTTATCTACCTGCAGAAAACTGAAACTAGATCCATGTTATCACCCTGTATTAGTATCAACTCAAAGTACCAGACCCAAAACTCTGAAGTTAGTACAGGAAAGAGCAGGAAATACTCTGGAAGCAATAGGTATAGGCAAGGACTTCCTCAGTAGAACCCCAGCAGCTCAGCAACTAAGAGAAAGGATGGACAAATCGGACTACATGAAATTAAAAAGCTTCTGCACAACAAAAGAAATGGTCTCTAAACTGAAGAGACCTCCCACAGAGTGGTAGAAAATATTTGCTGGCTATACATCAGACAAAGGACTGATATCCAGAATATACAGGGAGCTCAAAATAAACTCCCCCAAAATCAGTTAACAAAGAAGTAGGCAATTGAACTAAACAGAACTTTTTCAAAGGAAGAAATCCAAATGGCCAAGAAATACTGAAAAAATGCTCACTATCCCTGGCCATAAAGGAAATGCAAATCAAAACCACACTAAGATTCCACCTCACCCCTGTTAGAATAGCTATCATTAAAAACACCACCAGCAATAAATGTTGGTGAGGATGCGGGGATAAACAAACCCTCATACACTGCTGGTGGGAATGTAAGCTAGTACAACCACTTTGGACAACAATATGGAGGCTTTTTAAGAAACTAAATATAAATCTGCCATATGATCCAGCAATCCCACTCCTAGGGATATACCCAAAGGAATGCAACTCAGGTTATTCCAAAGGCACCTGCACACTCATGTTTATTGCAGCACTATTCAAAATAACCAAGTTATGGAAACAGCCAAGATGCCCCACTACCCACAAATGGATTAAGAAAATGTGGTATTTATACATAGTGGTATTTTACTCAGCCACAAAGAAGAATGAAATTTTGTCATTTGCAAGTAAATGGATGGAATTGGAGAATATCATCTTAAGCAAAGTAAGCCAGGCTCAGAAGGCCAAAAATCGTATGTTCTCCCTCATATGCAGACTTTAGATCTAAAACAAATGCAGTAGTATTATTGGACATGGGTCACACGCTAAGGGGAGAGCACATACAGGAGGAAAAGGGAAAGGTAGGAAACCCAAAACTTGAAAGTGGTTGATGTGCCCACTGTAGAGGAGTGAATAAAGTAATCTTAAACTGGCAGAGGCCACTATGGAAAGGTGACTGGGAAGTAGTGAAGACATCTGGTAGGGATGAACCAATTCAGATTATAATACACACATGCATGGAAGCAACGCTAGGAATCTCTCTATAGCTGTCTTTATCTCAAACTAGCAAAAACCCTATGTCTTTCTTATTATCACTATGTCTTCTCTTCCACAAAATTGGAGAAGAGGGCAGAACAGGTTCTGGCCTGGAAGTGAGGCCAGAACTTACAGGGAGGGGGAAGGGGCCCAAACAATGGGGAAGAGATGGCCCAAACAATGTTTGCACATATGAATAAACAATAAAAAAAAAGAACTCACTGATCTTTATTACTATAGTTGATGATTCCCATTCCAAGATAGTGGACAAGTGTTACATAAATTATCTATGTATATATTATCTATACCTAAATCTATCTATCTGTCTTATCTGTGTATATATGAGTTTCTCTAAAAATTGCGACTCAGTTTAATCTTATATTAAAATTTGCATTAAAGATTATAATCACCCCCAAAACTATGGACATTTATTTCATGAAAGAACTAAATAAAACCTATCCATAATTATATTACTGAGAGAGAACCACTTTAACTTTGTGATATATGTACTTCTCTCTTGTTCCCTGAAATTATTTTAATAAAAATATAATATATTTTAATTTTATTTTGTAAGATGTTTAAGTTATATATTACAAATAATTAGTTCCTTTTGATAATTCAGAGTTAAACCTTTGTAACTGCAAAAGATGACAGATTTTCTAGAAATAGAATAATAGTAGAATAATGGATTTTATAATTTGATTTTTTTGTTGTTTTACTTGAAATAATAGTTTTGTTTTGTTTTTAATCAGGAAACCTTTAAAAAAAAATAAGTAGTCTGAGGCTGGTGGAGTAACTCAAGTGGTAGAGTACCTGTCTAAGAAGTGCAAGCCCCTGAGTTCACCTCCTAATATTGCCCCCCCACAAAATAAATACCCAAGACATTGTCAAATTATAGATACTACTTTCAAGTGGATATCGCTAACCTTTTCTTTGCTGCTCTGTAAATAAGTAACATAAATGCTATACCTCTCATAGATTTATCTCAAGTTTTTAAAACCTACTTTGTAAAGATAAATGTGTGAGTTTGAATCAGTTCAGGAGAGTTATGGTATGAGCTGAAGTTTAGTTATTTATTTATCTGTTTGTTTGTTCTCACAGATTTGTCAAATCCGGGAACCTTCCGGGATCTTAGTAAGCCAGTGGGAGCCCTAAATAAGGAACGGCTGGAAAGACTACTGGTGTGCACATGGAAGATTCTTGGTTTCTAAGTAACATCATGAGCATGTTCATTTTCATAGTAATTGAAACTCAATTCTGCCCAACTTGGGAGACGCCCCAGGAGGGCCTTGCTGACCCTGTGTAATGTGTTCTCTGACCCCTTTTCCCACCACAAATATAGCTGCTTACTATTTTTGTTTTTGGTTTTGGATTCAGGAAGTGGGAGGAGGACCTGTTTAAGGTTTACTGAACTATTTTCACAAGGGTATTCTGTGATAATTATACAAAAGATGCTCAGAATCTCTTCTGTTTCATCCAACCCCAACACCATTACCAGTAAGCCAAGAAATCCAAGACACTTATAGTAGGAGTGCTCTGTTAGTCACTAATGAGGAGGGAAATTAAGCAATACAGCATGTCTGTGCCAGGATCTCTTTTAGGATTTACTCCTTGAGTCAGTTACTACTTTATGGTCAACACTTAGCACTATTTCTTCCCACATTGTAGACACGCTACCAGGAAATGCCCGAGCCAAAGTTCATGTATGGAAGTCACTACTCCTCCCCCGGCTATGTGCTGTTTTATCTTGTCAGGATTGGTAAGGCTCCTGAGATTTCCCTTCAACTGCATTCTGTTTTCATGTGGATTCTCAGATGATTTTGTGATCTCACTTAACTCTGATTTTTTTTTCCCTCTAGCACCAGAGTATATGCTGTGCCTACAGAATGGAAGATTTGACAATGCAGATAGAATGTTCAACAGGTTTGAAAGAAATACCTCATTACGTTCTGATGCATTCTGATTACAAATACATAGTATGTTCATTTTAAAATAATGAATACAAAGAAAAATGAAAAGAACTGTAAAAAAAAACCCTTGCTAAATGTCATAGGTGTTCCTTTGAGGCTTCTGTAAAGACATGTGTATGTGTGTATAAATGGGAGAATGTATTTTTAGTTTTTTTTGGTTTTGGTGGTACTGGGGTTTGAACTCAGGGCTTTGCACTTGCTAGGCAGGTACTCTATCACTTGAGCCTCTCTGCTAGCCCTTCTTTGCTCTGGTTATATTGGAGATAGCGTCTGCTTTTTGACCAGGCTGGTCTGTACCAGGATACTGCTGTTTTTTTAGCTTCACGTTGTTTTTGGGATGTCAGGCATGTACCACCATGTCTAGGTTGTTTTCAATGAGATGGGATCTCTCAAACATTTTTGCCCAGGCTGGTTTGGAACCACAATCTTCCTGATCTTTGCCTCCCAAGTAGCTACAATTATAAATGTGAGCCAATGGTGCAAAGCTATTTATTCATTTCTGAACACATATTTTTAAATGAAGATTTTTCTCCTGCCTTTTGATGGTAAATACTAGCTCTTGAAAGTCTCCCCATATTAATTATTAGCTGTACTTTAAAGCAATGATTTTGAAAAAGTTGTCATATCATATTCTAATATATAATGTAATTTATTTAAACTATTTTTCTCTGTTGGGCATTAAGACTGGTTCTCACATTTTATTATTCTTAATAATTCTGCTGTGAATTGGATATAACTCCCCAAGAGTAGATAGATTCACACACATACACAATATTTCCTTACCAAAGATCAAAATATAGAGAATGAACTTTAGTCACTTTTCCTCCTACCACACTGACCTGATGCTATTGTTTTTTCCTCCATCTGCGTCTTTCTGATCTTTTCCAAAGCTCTCTACATAGTTGGGACTGTTTAAATGAGCTGATAAAACAGTTATGCTAACCTTCAGTCTTAGGCACTTTGGACGTGGCAGTGTGTGAATGGACTTTGGCTCTGCGCAGGCTCAGCCCTGTGTGAACCCAGAGAAGCCATGGCAACCCTCCAGCCCCAGTTATCTCTGCTGTTAAAGGGAGGGGTACACACATAGGTGTTGAGAATGATGAGTGAATGAGAAAAGAGGGTTACACAGCAAAGCTCAGAACAGCAGGTGGTGCACAGGAAGCACTGCTGCTCCTGTTTCTATAGTTTAGATTTCACATCAGGTGAATTTTTTTGTGTTTAGTATTGCAGAAACTTGGAAGAACTGTTTGGATGGTGCAACAGATTTTAAAGAGGTAAGAAATTCATAAAGCTAAGGATTCACAGGGCTTGTGATTTCTAACTGCCCTGAAAAATGTTGTTCTTTATTTTCCCCCTGGAACTTGCAGTTGATTCCGGAGTTCTACGGTGATGATGTCAGCTTTCTAGTCAACAGCCTTAAGTTGGATTTGGGAAAGAGACAAGGAGGACAGATGGTTGATGATGTAGAACTTCCCCCGTGGGCCTCAGGTGAGTTCCACCTTGCAGGTATTATGTTATATACATTCTTTACCAAGTAGTGCAGTTTCAGTAACATTAACTCTTTTGTTGGTTGGCTTTTAAAATAATAATAGCTTGGCCATATTATTCTCTATCTAAATGAAGCCATATCAGTGTATTTTAAATCAGAACTCCTCTGAGACTATGTTGTAAAGATATCAATATAGACTGGATGTGGTTTTGAATGCCTGTAATCCCAGCTAGTCAGAAGGGAAAGATCAGGAGTGTTGAAGTTTGAGGCCAGCCTGAGCAAAAAGTTAGTGAGACCCCACCTCAACCAATAGGCATGGTGGTAAATTTCTGTAATCCAACCTACTGGGAAGCATAGGTAGGAGGCTCATGGTCCAAAGCAGACCCAGGCAAAAATGTGAGTTCCTATCTGAAAAAGGACTAAGGGAAAAAAAGGATGGGAGCATGACTCAAATGGTAGATCTGCCTAGCAAGGTTAAGGTTCTGAGTTCAAACCCTAGTACCACACCACAAAAAGAAAAAATATTCAATATGTATTTGCTAGATCTAGATGTTGTTAAAATGATTTTTGCTACTTTTCCCCCTACAAAAAAATTTATATCTCATATGATGGAAGAAAAAAACTCATTAGAAATATGTACTTCTTACCCATCCTAGAAACTTTATTTAGACAAAAGAAATGAGAGAAAATAGAGACTGTGGTGTTCTGATAGTTCAATCTGATAGGTCCCGAGGACTTTCTCCAGAAGAGCAAAGATGCACTGGAAAGCAGTTATGTTTCTGAGCACCTTCACGAATGGATTGACCTAATATTTGGCTACAAGCAAAAAGGGAGTGATGCAATCGAGGCCCATAATGGTATGTAATAATCAATCTCATTCAAAAACAAATAAGCAACTCAAGAGACTGAGGCTGGAGGATCAAAAGTTTGAGGCCATACTGTCTCAAATAAATAAATATAAATAAAAGAAATAGCAAATGAACAAATAAGGCCAGAGCAATCAAGCTTACTTCTTCAGTAGAATCATCTATCAGGAAGAAGTGCCCACTGGCTCCATGACCCTGGGTTAAGTACCAAGAGGGAAAGACTTTTGCCTAAACAATACCTTCCTCACTATGGTCCCAAAAGATATTTTTGAGGACTGATTTTAGCATATGCAGTCATTCCTCAGTATCTGTGAGAGAATTGGTTCTAGGACCTATAGATACCAAATCCCATGGATGTTCAAGTCTCTTATGTGAAATGGTAGGATTTGCATGGAACCTACACACATTTTCTCTTATATTTAAAATCATCTCTGGATGGCTTATAATGACTAACACAGTGTAAATGCTGTGTAAATAGCTACTTTACTATGTTGTTCAGAGAACAATGAAAAAAAGAGAAGTGTGTTTATGCTCAGTATAGATGCAGATTTTCTTTGGATACACTCTATATGCAGGTGGTTGAATCCACAGATGTGGAAGCCATAGAAACAAAGGGTACACTGTACTCTCCATCCTATGTAATAATTTCAATTAAAATTCAGTCAAAGGCTGGGGGCTTGCCTCAAGTGACAGGAGTACTTGCCTAGCAAATGTGAGGCCCTGCTCAAGCCTCAGTATTGCCAAAAGAAAAAAATGCTCACAAAATTCAACCAAAATGTGATAAGGACAGTGACCTCAATTCCTATGAAAAGCCCCAGAGTTTCTTAAATTAAACAGAAAGGACACAGTATTTTGTCTCCTCTAAAACTTCCTCTTTTTCACCTCCAGGTTGCTCTGTGTCTCTAACAGGGACTTGAGCTAGAAATTCAGACTTGATGGCTGTCATGGTAGTACAGAGTCACACTAGCACTGAGACTAATGCTTCCCATAAGGAGAGAGAAGTGGTGCCTGAGAACTATACCAAGATAACTTATCATCTCCTCGGCCTGTTAGATTCCTGTTCACCAAAAGATAATGATTCAAGTTGATACTTACTCAATTTGAATATTAACCTGTTTGCAAAATTTCTTTGAACACAGTTTTAAGTTATTATTTAAATTCTGAACAGGGTATATGTTATAACTAAATAGTACATTTTTTTTCAACAGTGTTTTTGTTTCTCTTTCAGTATTTCATCCTCTGACCTATGAAGGAGGTGTAGACTTAAACAGGTGCTTACATGTTCTACTTGAGTTATTAAATATTTCTATTTAAATTATTATTGTAGTTATTTGAGAATGTTAAAGTATGGGAATAGTACAATGAACTGTATCTTGTTTTCATCATTATGTTTGTTACTGACACTAAGAAAATATTCTAAACAGTCCTATAAAGAAGTTTAGGCCATGCTGGCTCATAGTTGCTATTTATTTTGAGGGCTAATCTCTCCTATTGATCTGCATTATTTGAAACATGCTTTCGGGGAACTTGAGCCTAAACTGTGATATTTCTGTTCTATCCCAAAGCATTGAGGATCCTGATGAGAAAGTAGCTATGCTGACACAAATCTTGGAATTTGGGCAGACACCAAAACAGCTGTTTGTGACACCACATCCTCGAAGAATCACTTCCAAATTTAAAGCTTTGTCTCAAACCTCTAGTTACAATGCTTCTGTAGCAGATTCCCCAGGTATGTTTTGTAAAGAGAAAAAATGGGAGCATCCCATTTCTCTTTTGCAATTAAGTTTTTCCTGAAGATTCTGATGAAACATGAACTGTGCTGTTTAAAGATGTTTGTTTTTCCGAGGCTGGGGATGAAGTTCCGTGGTAGAGCACTTGCCTCACATGTGCAAGGTCCTGGGTTTCATTCCCAGCATGACAAAAACAAGCAAAAAAAGTTTGTTTTTCTCCAGTTTTTGTTGTTGTTGCTTGTTTTTAACTATTGACTTTGAGAGAAATGAAATCACTTTTATTTTCTGGTAATTGAATATGACTAAGACTTGGCTGTTTTTTGTTTGTTCGTTGCTATGGTTCCCTTTCTTTTCTGTGTTTTTACAAGCTGGTGTTTAGTTTTTAGCATTTTACCCTTTCCTATTTACAGTCCTGGCCATGGCCTCTTTAATAGTCACCGCCCACCCTATTGTTTTCCAAGAATGACTTCCTCTGTCCCAACTCTCTTGCCAAACTGAATCTTGAATCCAGTTCAAACTGCCATAGTCTCTTCACTTGATTTTGTTGTCTTATGTAGCATGTAACAAATATGCACAAAATATCTGTTCTGCCCAGGTACATGCTGGATGCTAAAATGAACTCAAACTAGTGCGCACATCCAGTATTTGAAAGGAAGGAAAAAACTCTCACTTCACCCCATTATCTATGTTTTCTGTTTCATATAAGAGAGCTTCATGCCTGTAGGTTCTTAGGAGAAGCTGGGTGACACCATATGGCATCTTGGCAGCAAAGTCACTGCATTTAAAAAAAAAATCTCCAGTTCTACTCTCTGTCACACACATATCCAGGCCTCTCAGGAACATGTAACTGAGCTTGCTCTCCAGCATGGAGGAGCAGTTTACTGGGTGACCTGTCCCAGGAGCAGTGTGGACTCTGTCTTTAAGACATACCATGTGTTTCCCAGGGCTCAGTCAAAAATACTGTAGGATTATCTTGTGATGCCATTTCACCCTCCTCTCTGCTTAGTCACCAGGCATAGCCACTGTCATGTGATTGCTTTAAAAAGATAACTGTTCCAGCTTTTCTTAAAGCAGAAGTGAAAGCATTATTTCTGGCTGGAAGCCCTCGAAGTAATTGATTTCTTCTCTGCTTTCTCCTCAAAACCAGAACAAAAAAGAATTCTTAGGCAACTGTTGGGTTTTTGCAAAGACTGCTGACAAAGAAAATGGTTACTCACTGTATGTTTCTTGAAATTTATGTTAATGGTCAAATGAAGACTTTGCAAACTCTAGCACCCAGTGATATGTCTTTATCTGTCTCTACATGATTTTTTCCCTTGACTAACATTGAGCTATCTAACAATTGCATTTAAAAGCAGTTACATTTTGGTGGCTGTTTTGGTTTTTTTTTTTTTTTTTTTTTTGGTTATTTGATTTTAACAGAAAATACTGTGTTACAGTTGTCTTACTTAGCAAGGATTTAATGTAGTCTCTCCAGGTGAAGAGTCTTTTGAAGACTTGACTGAAGAAAGCAAAACTCTGGCCTGGAATAACATCACCAAGCTGCAGTTACATGAGCAGTATAAAATCCACAAAGAGTAAGAATGTCTCTCACAGCTGACGATATGTGCAAAAGCTAAGGTCTTGGCATAACTGAGTCGTGGGAGAATGTTTCTTCTCTATGTTGTCTTGACTGTTGTTTATACCCACCCCCCCCCGCCAAATGTATATGGTGATCTGCTGCCTGAAGTTGATGTAGCAAGGAAAAGTTTGGTACAAAATGATTTGTGTTGTTCCCCATGCTCACGCTGTGATTCCTGCTGTGTGTCTGTCATTCTTTGAAATGGTGTCTGCAGACAACACATAGTTCTATGCCTCTCAAAGTAGACATATGACTTCTCAAGTCTTCCATGGTGTGAAGCATAGGATAAATGTGATCTATCATCAAGTAGTGAAGTACTGATCATGTAAGGGGAAATGCATCTTTTTAAATAATAATTACAAACATGAATGCAAATGAATAAATATAGAAAAAACAATTGCATTACAAAATTCACTTGAATGTTAAAAATAATACCTGTATTTGAAAGATATTGGGCTTGTAGTTGGATCCAGAGGTGGTGCAAGTGTTCCCTGTGTTCTCAGTAAGGGTCTCTGGTACTCTACAGGAAGACTTGAGAAGCATTGGCCTAGCATGACCTGTCCTGCTGCAGAAAAAGACCCAGGCCTGGAGCCCATGCCCCCATCCTGCTCCATGGCCACTGGAAGCCTGTCTGACAGTTGGGTGGTTCCATTGTTATTGGTCGTGAGCTGGACCTGGATGTTCTGGATGTCTAGCTTTGCTTTAGGTGCCTGCTCTAGAGTACAGGCTCCTGAAAGGAACTGAGCTGTATGTGTTCATTATTTTAACAATGGCTTTTCTGTCCTCGACTTCTCTAAATGATATGTGGAAAGGGACCTTGTAATCTGAGACATTGAAGGGGTGAATAAACCTAAGCATCACTCATGTAATGTTTAATAACCCTGAATGTCCTCTTAGAACACATGCTGGAATCAGGTGATTGTATCATTGACAAATGTTAGGAAAATTAGAAGCAAAATGGAGCAGATGAAATGACTACTTAGTCTTTTGGTAATGGTCAGATAAGGTAGTATGGAAAGAGCAGTATTTTCAAATTGTCAGAAATTGTCAAAAATACATTAAACATTGACTATAGCAGCTTGGCAATCTAGGAGTGGGAATGCTTTGTAGGTGCAAGGTATTGTCAGAGCAAAGAGATACTGCCAACCAGTGAGCTGGTGATGGGACATGTATGTAGGGAATAGACCCAGCAGACAAGCTATGAAGAAAAAAATTAAGAAAACTCAGTAAATTAAGGACTTGGAAGAGAGCGGGTGTCCTGGCACATGGCAGATAGTAACTTATGAAACTTTGTTTTTTAAACAGGGCAGTTACAGGGATAGCAGTCTCCTGCAATGGGTCTTCAGTCTTTACAACATCACAAGGTATGTTTTCCTACCCAAAAAGTGATTTAATTGGAATTATAAATTGTCCATGTTCTTAACTCCTGATCAGGAATTTCACCCATGTGCCATATCTCCTTCACATAAAATAGATTTGGAACAAATTTATGCATGGGATATCCCATATAATTTCTTTTTTTTTTTTTGAACCATTATTTTTTTTTTTACTGAGGTCAGAAGTAATTTTTATTTTTTTTTTTTCATTTTTCTTTTATTGATATGTGCATACAAGGCTTGGTTCATTTCTCCCCCCTGCCCCCACCCCCTCCCTTACCACCCACTCCACCCCCTCCCGCTCCCCGCCCTCAATACCCAGCAGAAACTATTTTGCCCTTATCTCTAATTTTGTTGTAGAAAGAGTATAAGCAATAATAGGAAGGAACAAGGGGTTTTGCTGGTTGAGATAAGGATAGCTATACAGGGCATTGACTCACATTGATTTCCTGTGCGTGGGTGTTACCTTCTAGGTTACCCATATAATTTCATTATAGTTTTCCAAAAACAAAATGAAAGGCCTTTCTGTTGCTGATAAGGTTTTCAGGAATGAAGATACAAGGGAGAAAGAGCCTCTTTCCTCATGCCTTGGCTTGATCTCTCCCGCCATGAGGGTCCAGGTCTATTTGCTGGCTCTGCATGAGCCCAGAATGGGCCAGGGTGCAGTAGCCAGGGCTGCGCCATATATCTGGGTGTGTTTGCATCAGAATGTAGAGATACAGGTTTGCTGTTAGGCTTTTCAGTTTCTCATTCAGCATGTATATTCTTGGGACTTTTTGGTTAGATTTAACCTGAAACTTAATTCATATTGCTAATGTGCCTATACCTTATCAAAATTATAAGAACATAATGCCTTTTGATATCTTAATTACATACTAGAATTTGGCTGTCTTGATCTTAAGAAAATAAGCAAAATGCATCTCTTGCTGTACATCCCTTTATTTCCTTGGTGGTCTGCGTAATAGTTAAAATACATCCTGTGCCTGTAATGTTTGGAGCACCCTGGAAGGTGTGGAGGGGTAATAATACCATTGCTGTCTTGCTTCAGTACTAAAACAACTGGTCGTGACAATCAGTAATTGTTTTTAAAGAGGTGGCTTGTTCTTTAGTCCTTATTTATCACAGGAGATCTTAATTTTCATCCATTAAGAAATGATGCTATCCAACTGAACTCCTCTAGGTAAATCAGTTACTTGCTTTGTTAGCTGGAGCATTAGCATTCCTTTTTCTTCAAATACCATCTCAGGACTTTCCATGAAACATAGAAAGTGACTATCCAGTAGATCATATGGAAGGTCACCTGCAGGACCCCTTACTGGCCACATCAGGTTGGCACAGGGAAAGGTAAGTATTTTGTGCTTTGCCAGGATTTCTACCTGCTGAGTTTGCCAGCATTTTAGCAGCAGGCGAAACACTTTAGCTTTCAGCAAAGCCTGTGCTGTTAGCTGGGTTCGTCTGGCTTGGCTTGTTAAATCCTTTGGCTCATTGTACTTGTGCAACCTTGTGAAGCATGAGTTTTCGGAGCATCAAGGCTTCATATCATTCCAGTTAATTATTATTTCACTTCTTTGTGAGTTTGCCAAAAAGGGAGGTTTTTTTTTTTATAAGTCACAGCCTTTTGCTGTATTTTTTTTCACATTTAGATTTTCATGATTTGTATTACTGATTCATTTGCATTCTGATGGTCTCCCCAAAGTTACATTTCCTCCTCAAATGGTGTGTTTAGGTTTGTGGCCATTCTGGAACTTGCAGCCTATGAGATTAGATTTTATTGCTGTCTTTAACCCGATCACTTCTGGTATAGGGAGGGAATCTTCGATTTCGAGAAAAACATCTTTTTTTTCCTGTCTGGTTTATGGTGTTCTGTAAATGCCCAAATTATCTTTAACAGACTTTGTCAAAGTAGCCTAATAGTATCAGGAGCAAGATTGGGAAGACTTATATTCTATTAATTCCACCCCAGGGGAATGTGCAGGTCACATGGTGTTTATTCTTCTGTGCTTGTTTTCAAGTTAATCCATAGGAATGCCATATTAATGCCCATATTTATAAATTCTCAGGAATTCTACTGCAAAGATTAGGTTGAAAAATGAAGTTTTGGGTTGGGGATGTAGCTCTGTGGTAGAGCACCTGCCCAGCATGTGCACGGCCCTGGGTTCTATGGCCAGCACTAAAAAATAAACCAAGTTTCTTATCTAAACTTTTACTACACAGAAGAAATGATTTAAATCTCATTCTGACATTCCATCATCTTGTATATTTACAATTTAGGAGATGGACTGTAACATATCTCAACTATGGGACATCAGCACAGTAGAGCATTATAATTTGTAAGTCTCGAGGGTTTTTTTTATTATTTTTTGTGTTAACTGCAGATGTGAATACAGGGCGTGGCCATGCCAAGCAAGTGCTCTACCATGAGCTACACTCCTAGCTTCCTGGTCTTTAAAAAAGAATTTGGCTTTATTTGGTTTTGAACTTAGAACTTTACACTCGCTAGACGAGTGCTAGACAACTTGAGTCATGCTCCTGGCCCTTGTTCCTTTTTTATTTTGCCCAGACCAGCCCTGGATATCCTTGTTCCTTTTTTATTTTGCCCAGACCAGCCCTGGATAGCCATCCTTCTACCTCTGCCTGCTACATAGCTGGTATTACAAGTTTGACCCACCATACCTGGCCTGTTTTTGAGATAGCATCTTACTTTTTGCCTGGGCTGGCTTTGGACCACAATCCTTCCATCTTTGCCGTTTGTGTAGCTGGGATCATAGGTATGTGCCGTGGCCTGGTCTCTAGTTTTGGTTTTTAAAAGAAGGTTGTTTTGGCAAACTTTTAAAGTTTCTATTAGGCAAGGAAATTAGAATTTGGACATTTTAATTACTACTTTAGTGTTTTGAAAGTTAGTGGTGCTCTTCAACAAATGTTAATTAAATTTGGGTTATTTGTTTAAAAAAAAAAAAAAGGTCTATTGCCAAGATCTTTTTGTTTTCTTTAAAATTGATATTTTAGGATTGCTATCTCCCTCTTCTGTAACTTTTAGCTCACCTCCTTACTAGGCTTCACTCTGCAGTCATGCTGAAATGTCAGCAGTCTGCCATGTCTGTGGTGGGGTCTTTTGGGTTCAAATTGATTTCCTCATCATGGAGTTACATTTCGTAGAATCTTGATGTTGACAAGGCCTTAGATCATCCCACCTGGTCTACATCCATGTCCTCATGGACTTGCACTTTTGCCTGTTGGATTCCAGGAAGAAGAAGAAGAAGGGCAGCCATCCTCTGACATCTATAATTGTTAGGAAACCTTTCTTAGATGGCTGCTTTCTCATTTTAGATTCTACCTTGAAGATGTTTTCTAAAGAATCCAAAATGCTACAAAGAAGTGTATCATTTTCAAATATGGTGAGTTCCTTTCATCAGTCTTATGATACAGACCCACATAGTAGTTTGTTTTATACACACGTAATGATATTTCATTTCTGCCAAAACACATTTATTCCCATGCTGCAGCTACAGAATCTAAAATTATTTCTAAATTCAATTTAACATATTTTCAGGTTGGTTCTTTTTCAAATTATTGCAATTTCATTTTTAGCATTTAAGTTTAAAGAACTTAAAGAGCTACCAGTAGAATTCTCCTTAATAAATCTTTCTTTTCCTTTAACTACCAGCCAAAATGTTTATGTATCACTTGAACAACTGAAGCATTTCTGAGTTGGTTGCACATATAGTACAACAAAACCAATTCTTATAAAAGAACATGTTTTATTTTTAATGTAAATCATCCAAAAGATTTTGAAATTCCCTTAGGAATGTGTAGGCTTTCCTTGTACACATAAACCTGTACCCCAGAGAGGGCTTTTTTATTCTTGAGGATTACCCTAGGAGTTCTTCCAGCCCCGTCAGAACCTGAGAGTCCCCAGGCCAGGCTGTAACACATTTGACACAGTTGGACATCAGGAGGAAGCCAAACATCTAGAATTTGCCTTTCAGAAAATCTGGGTATTGTGAGGAAAACCACCTAAGAATTTGAGCTTTAATTTTGGGGGGAACCTATGAGATAATTTTACCGTGTAATTATTCCAAATTATTAACTCAAATCATTTGTATTTCAGGCTTTATCTTCGTGTTTACTTTTACCAGGAGATGCCACTGTCATAAGTTCTTCTTGGGATAACAATGTGTATGTATCTGTGCAGGCTCTTTGGCAATCACACATGCAAAGTGGCTGTCTTTGTGGACACGAGATATATGAGGACAGGCCTTCTGCTGGAGAATACTGTATTTAAGAGAACAATTATTAGAGACAAGGACAGTATCACTGAATTCAAATAGCATTATTTGAATATTTCAATCTAATTTTTCCAGTTGGAACCTACTTTTTCTAAGTTTTAAATTGAGATGAAAATACAGACAAGTCAGATTGGGAATGTTCTAGTTTAAATTCAAATTTTGAATATTTTGGTTTAATAATATGAGGACGTTATTTGTAATTCTAGGGCCTTAGTAATCTAAAATTAAACAATATTATGTTTCTCAAATATGTGTTTAAGAGTCTTAAAAGCTGAAATACTGTTTTAATAGTTCTTGTTATCTTTTAGCTATTTTTATTCCATAGCATTTGGAAGATGTCAAGACACACTAATGGGACACGATGATGCTGTTAGTAAGATCTGCTGGCATGATAATAGGCTATATTCTGCATCATGGGACTCTACAGTGAAGGTTTGTATATCTTTAACTTAAAATTATTTGGACATAAAAATATTATAAACCATTCAATACCTGTGGTTAATATGTTCAATTCACTTTCTCTCTCTCTCTCTCTCTCTCTCTCTGTGGTACTGGGGCCTTCACCTTAGCCACTCCAGCACCCCTATTTTTGTAATGGGTTTTTTTGAGATAGGGCCCAGTGAGCTATTTGCTTAGCTGGCTTCAAACTGTGATCCTTCTGATCTCTGCCTCCTGAGTAGCTAGGATTATAGGCATGAGCCACTGGCACCCAGCTATTTTTCTTAAAATTTATACACCTCTTAATAGGAAATTTATCACAGTTTCAGTATAGTGTGTTCATCTGGGTGGGATTGAAAGGCCTAGTATTCATACAAGAACAAAATTGTAGAGAAATGTACAGTAGCAATCCCTCTTATCTAATGTGACTAGAACATGTACTTGATCAGTTAATTGGGAAATTTCAGATTAAATCATTAAAATGTACATTTTATGTAAATCTAAAACATACAAAGGTATATACATTCACCATTCCTTTGATGTAGAACTACTCAAGGTCTTTTCTTTGGAATCCTACACAACTTTCCCACATAAACCACCCCAGTACGCCTCATCTTAGATTTCCAATTTGCATTTATGTAAAAGAAAGCGAGAACCTAAAATCAGTAAAATTCCTGTAGTTTTTCAGGATTTTTTTTTTCCTCCATTCTGTTAGATATTTTCACTTAGCTGTACAGAACTTTTTTTGGTTTTGGTATTGGAGTTTGAACTCAGGGCCTCATGCTTGCTAGGTGCTCTGCCACGTGTATCACTCCACCCAGCTGTACCTAATTTTGATAATTTTTTTTTGGTGTCTTCTTTTTGAGTCTCCTGAGAACATTGACAATACAACCCTTCTGCATTCACATTTCCTTGATTCACACAGTTTTTACATCATAAGGTTATAGCAGCAGATGGACACAAAGGCACAAACAGTGGACTGTAAGCAGCACATGCTGGTAGGGAAATGACAGGCACTGGGGAGGATGAGGAGCTAGAGCGTAACCAGCTCAACTTCCTTGACAAGCATGTTTAATGGAAGTTGCTAAGTAGAGTTCTTCCTAAATGTGTCAGAAATAATTTTATATTAAAAGTTTGAAAGTGCCTTCTGTAATATGTTCCATGCTAGGTGTGGTCTGGCGTTCCTGCAGAGATGCTGGGCACCAAAAGACACCAGTTTGACTTGCTGGCTGAGCTGGAACATGAAGTCAGTGTGAGTACGAACAACAAAGCTCTGCACAAGGCTGAGCTTCAAACTCCAGAGTGGAGGGTTGAGAGGACATTCTTGGGTTTTCTTTTGAAGTTCTTTTCCTTTGTTTTGTTTTATGTACTGGAGACAACTTGTAAGACCCAGTTCTTTTCTTTGAGTTGACTCACGAGGTTTCTGAGTCTACTTTCTTTGGATTTTTCCTCCTGTTTGCTTCTTTGTGCATTTCCTTGAGAATTAGCTTTCCCCCAACTAGATTTAATTGTCAGTTTCAAGGTGGGTCTTACGGTGACTGTCTTAGGCAAGGTGAGGAAAGTCTAGCCCAGGAATGGAGGGGTGGGGTGCAGGATTCCAAATTCATCTTTCATGTCTTCTGACCTGGAAGGTGGAAGGGATCACCTGTCCAGAAGATTTCCATCCTATAGCAGAGGACAGTGACCTCTGCTAAGAGGCCAAGTATGCACAGCTAAGTGGCAGAGCCAAAACAAAACTTCTCATCTGCTCTCTTTGAGTCACACTGCTGTGTCAGGCTGTAGTTTACAGCACTTCCTTTCCCCTAAGGTTGGGAACTGATGCCTACTTTTCATGGTCTTCAGATTAACTGAGGTGGAAATATTTAGTATGTAATGCAAGGTGGTATACAAGTATAATCTTGTGGAGAGATTCCCCCCAATCCACAAATCTCTCAAATAGTCATGGGTCCACCCTGTTCCGGGCAGTTTGGCACCTCACTACAATTTATTATTCATGGAGTTTTCTAAGTCTGTCAGTTTTAAGCTATTTCAAAAAAGCATTACAATTACCTTAGCAATATTTCATTTTCATTTCTACTTGTGTTCACTAGTATATGAAGAATCTTACCTTATTTTAAAATAAATTTAAAATAAATACACCTGTATTAGATACACCAGCGCACTGCACAATAGCATTTAATCTATGTCATTGTGACCAGATATTTGAATCAGCCTAGGGAAGCATAGTTAATGATCATAATTCTAAGTGGGATATTTACCACTGTGTTTTCTTCCTTAGGTAGATACAATCAGTTTAAATGCTGCAAGCACACTCTTAGTTTCAGGCACCAAAGAAGGCACTGTGAATATTTGGGACCTCACTACAGCCACTCTGTTGCACCAGATTTCATGCCATTCAGGGACTGTATGTGATACTGCTTTCAGCCCAGGTAGGTATTATCCTTTTTAACACAGATGAGATCAGGTACATTTTTAGAATTTTGAAATAATTAAAAAGTTTAGAATAAAATGACTGTTGATGAAAGGGATTCTACCTGTAGCTAAGGACAATTTATGCCATGTTTTATATACTTGTGGCATTGGTACCTTAATAGAAAGGCAAGATCAGATATTGTCTCCAATTCCTCAACTCATTAGAGAAATCAGTGTATAAGATATAAGTGTATAAACCAAAGGGTTACCTCATGTCAGGATCTTCATGTTTCAAGTAGTCATTGCTAAAGTATAAGGAGATGGAGGAAAATGAAAGTGGTCAGTAGGCCACCAGATTCAGAAATAAAAGCTCAGAGTAATCTAAACCATTTTCCGAGGCTGTCTCCTTGTATCTGTCTTACCATGTCTTGCAGATAGCCGCCACATCCTCAGCACAGGAGCAGATGGCTGTCTAAATGTGGTTGATGTGCAGACAGGGATGCTTATCTCCTCCATGACGTCAGACAAGCCCCAGAGGTATCATCCCTGAATAGCAAACATACTCATGATCATTTCATTTGGGCTACTTAGCCAGTGTAACATACCCCTTCATTCATGTAGAAAGGAGGATTATTTCCCAATCATTGCTGCAGGTGCTTTATCTGGGATGGAAATTCTGTTTTATCGGGAAGCCAGTCTGGCGAATTGCTCGTTTGGGACCTCCTTGGAGCAAAAATCAGTGAAAGAATACAGGGCCACACAGGTAAGTAGTTCTTGCAGTTGTCTTGAGCCTTGTTAAGATCCTTGTTAAGAGTTGTTCCCTTAACTCTTCTCGGGCAGAAAACTCCCCAGGTATTATCCAGGCTGTCAACATCTCCCTTGACCATCGTAGTTGGTCAGGGGTGATATCTCTTTTGTTGCTCAGAATTTAGATATACCACTGTCACACTGATGACTCCTACATCCTAGTCTCCCTGAAAGCATGTTCACCAGTGTGTCCCATATGTGCATCCTCTTATTAGGATGTATGTGGACAAAACTATATACAAAGCATCCTATAAAACTATTATCTCCCCCTTTTTGTTTGCACTTAATAGTCTCTTTCAAAGACTGTTTGCTCACATTTGCATGTTTCTCTCCTGATTATTTAGAGGTCTTAAGTTTTTAATTCTACCTTTATTGTTAATTTCTCACTGTCAGCACTAATTTCCCATCTTCATTTTCTTTCCTTCTGTCATGCAGTTTCATATGGTTATTTCTTCATAAAGTTATATGCCTGTGCCTTTTTCCCTCAGTTTAATAGCTTTACTAATTCTAATTCACATTTGACCCCTTCCAAAGTAAAAGGAGGTAACCAGCCAACTTGGCCCAATGGCCGCTTTTTCCCTTCCTAAAAGTCTTATGACTTCTATTGTATAGCATTGCATTGTTACGTATTTGTAATTCTAAGTTGTTTTAGCTTTAGATTTAATGGTTTCTTATTCCTCACAAGTTCTCTTATCAAGCAGTTAATTTATATAAGGATTTTATTATAGAAAGAGACAAGACAAAGTATAGCTCACTTCACTCCTCTGTAAATGGACAGCAAGCAAGAGAGAGCATTGCAGTGATGTGTATGTACCTTTAGCTGCCTTCCTCCCTAACCAGAATGTGTCTTTCTCTCAGGTGCTGTGACATGCATATGGATGAATGAACAATGTAGCAGTATCATCACAGGAGGGGAAGACAGACAAATAATGTTCTGGAAATTGCAGTATTAAGTGCCTTTTCCTCGCTCGAATATTTAAAATTGAATTTTTATTTAATGTATTTTCAACCAAAGTTTTAAAGGAACTGGTGAATGTGCACTGGTGAATGTGCAATGATAGTAGTTAGAATGTTTACCACATGAAAAGTTGTGGTTTTAAACTTTCTATATCATGGTGACTTCATTGAAAGCCATTCATTGCCATCCTAAGGCAGAAAAAAAAGGCAGTAGATAGGGAACATACATTTGTAAGGCACAATTTTCCCAGTGTAATGATGGTTAGAAGACTAGATTGAGTGGCAGAGGAAGCAGAGACACTAAACTGCTCGAAACACAGAAAAGCAGTGAAGGGTTTAGAATTTTTCCAAGAAAATGTAGTGTCCTCTGCTGCTTCTGAGTCAGTCTTTTGTCTTCCTAATCTACCAGAGTTGCTACCACTGGGTTCTTAGCTATGTGTGTTTTCATGGAGTGGTTACTTTCTATAATGCTGTACCCAGATTCTAAGAACCTGGGGAAGGATTAGCAGTTCTTATTATAGTAAGTTTACTGTGTATAAGAATAGTTTGTATTTCATTAAGCTATTAAATGCTCACCTTTTCTACATTAAAAATATTTTTCTGTAATGAAAGCAGTTTTGCTTTTATTTAAATGAGTAACTTTTAAGACCTCCAAGTATTGACCCTTCTAGAAAACCATACTTAGTGACACAAATATCATTTCATTACTTTTGAAACTATCTTCAGATCCAAGTCCAGACAGCAAGGCAGATAAACAAACTGGGAAAAGTTCTAAATTTCAAATGAGATGGACTGGACAGTACTGGTGTCTTTCATGTTCAATTTTTGAAACACAGAAATTATGCAATTTCAAAATCTATAGTTTTTAAGGCACTGTTGTACAGGCAATGTGGCCTAAGGGGAAAACAATCAACAATCAGATGGAGGTAACAGAACTTTCAAAAGACATTTTTAACCTTCATTTATTACTATGTGGTCTCTGGGTGTTCCTGGGGAGAATTAACAGCCTCACTGGGTTCCTGCTGCATGGCCTGAGGTGCAGAGTGAGCTGGCCCTTCAGGCCTGGCCATCTGGAGCTCCCAGCTGGCAACATATTTTCACACACTCTGTCTCAGCTTTGAATAGCTGTTCTCAGGGCCCCTGGTGTCAGTTGTTGGCAGGGAGAGTTGGAGACTGTCTTCCATAGCCAGAGGCAAAGTTCACAAGTCCTCCTTCAAGGTCATGCACAAGTGTGGTGACTACCAAAGTTCCCAAATGATACAATAACAGACTAAAATGTGACTTCATACACATTTAATTAAAACAGGATAGGCATAAACCAAAAAGAAAAAAATCAGGATAAAGTGTTACTGCCATTTTGTTTACAGTGAGTAATGAGGAAATGAAGCACATTACTAAGAAAACATTCTAAGACCATCCCAAAGGAGCTAGGTTATATAATGTTAGGATTCAAATGCCAAAATTAAATATTATCCCACCTGATCTACAAATGAAAAAAAGGGACAGGTTATCCTGTTTAGTATAAGAAGTTTGCATTAAATATATAGTGATTTGTTTTTCAGAAAGTGGTACTGGCAACTTTTAGAAGAAGTTTCCATTATGCAATGACTACAAAAGTTTCAAAGTACAACTAAGCAGCTATGCTATAGCTCAATAAGTACCATTAAAATGTTCTGCGCTAGTGTACATTTCAGTTTAATATAGAACTAACATTCTGGATTTTAGAAAGGCAGCAATAATTGTATTTTGGCTTTCATTCTAGATGCTTAACAGAGTTAAGGCGACAGCTGAAGCACAGTAAGTGAAGGTAGTTAAGATTTAATGACAATCATCACAATCTCTTGCAACGTATATATACTGTATAATGCTCACGGAATGAAATCAGTATTACTTAATTGGCATTTTACACACACACACAGAACTTAAAAAATAAAAACTATTAAAGGCAGTCATCCGAAATGAATATGGGTAATCTATTAAAAATGCAAATATACCATAGAACTAAAGTAACACGAACCAAACTATGCATTACCTAGGAGAAAGGTGACTGGTTCTCACACATAGCTAAGCCTGCATCAGTCATCCTAATCACAATGGCTTATAAATGCATCAGGTTTCCAGTACAGAAACTATTCTAGGAAAGTCAACAAATCTTTTGAAAGTTTCACATCTGTAAATCCAGGATAAGGCTACAACTATTTTGAAATCTGAAGAAGATATCAGACAAAACAGTAGGATTCCCAGCCATGATGTAAACTAGAAAGGTCCTCATGCAGCATATGCTCCCTGGCTCCAGGAAAGCTTCATGTGCATAATGCAGAAGTTGCCGAAGAAGGAAACTGAAGATGTTCAGCTCTATTTACGTTGTGCATGACTTTTAAACCTCGGGAATGGTGTGATCCATCAGGCTTTTCATAATGCTTGGTGCCATCCTAAAAAAAAAATCACTTTCATCATATACTGAAGTTTCTTTCCAAAATACTATGTTAATCCAAGAAAATGCCAATTCCAGTTTTGCATGTGTTGCATCAGTGAGATTAGGAAATAAGGGAAAGGTCTTTTAAATGAGCTCAGGTCTTCTAAGTCCCTGATAATGTTGTTGCTGGCAAATATTCAGGGTGAACAGCCATCAGTATCTTAGCTAGACAGGTAGGATCCAAAAGTCTTTGTATATTAAGACTGGTGATTAAAAATTTTTAAAAAGCTAGGTATAGTGGTGCATACCTGTAATCTCAGCTACTCAGAAGGTAGAAAGTTAAAGGCTACCCTGGGCTATATATACAGCGAGACCTGCCTCAAAAACTTGACAATAAATTTTCTCCAAGAGTAGTGGGCTGTGTTCTATATAGAAATCAGCACAGAAATTTAACTAAATTTCATTGCAACAAATGTTATGTTTATGAATCTTTAAAATCTCCTTTCCACATGCATGATAGAGATTCTGAAAGGATTCAGACTGGCTTGGTACAAACAGCTATGATAAAAGCTAGGGTCTGAAAGCTCTGGCAAAGTTAACCCTTGCTGGTCTTCTACTCTTCTACCTCAGCTTTCCAGTCCTCAATTCCTAAAGACAGACAGCACCACTGCACACCTCTCTCTGCCTCCTGAGGTGCTGGAGAGAATAGAAACTGTTACGAAATGAACCAAGCCTTGTATGCACATATGAATAATAAAAGAAAAATGAAAAAAAAAAATAAAAAAACCTAACACAAAGTAGAATTATTTAAACAAAAATAAAGTCTCAAATCTAAAAAAAAAACAAAAACAAACTGTTACCTGTTAACACCCCACAGGCACAAAATCTCCACCATGAACTCCGCCCCCATGGCTAGATTTCTACTGAGCAGAGTGAACTGCAGTCAGTTACACTGAAAATTCAAGTCTACCTCTGCATGGACCCCCTTTAACTAAGCATTGTCAAAAGTTAGCAAGGGCATAGTGAATTTTGTTCCATACTAAGGAAGTTGTGGTGAATCATCCCTACCAAACAACTCCTCTGGTTTAAATAATTTATTTACCATTTCTAGATAAATCCTAGTGTCATCCTTAGGTAAAACAGCCAAAGGTTTGGGAACTGAAAGAGTACAGCACTTATATTATGTCACCCAACTATACATACAGAGGTGAAGAATCTACTTACCGTTTAATAATGTGTTCAAAGACAAAAGCGGGCATGATTGTAATGGTAACAACAGTCCCAGATGTTGATAGTATGTCTGCAATTTGAGAATCCTGATGAAAATAGATAATGAAAATTAATTCCACTGAGACTATTTAATAAACCTAAGACTGTTATTCTTGGTAAAGAAATACACAAATATATGTGCTATTATTTTGCTAGTTTCTCCAAAACCCTGATCCTAGGTTTCAAATTTTTTTATTGTTTTCCTTTCCAAGTTTAATTCTACAGAACACAATTTACAGACGGTAGCAAAATTACTAAGTAAACTGAGTTAAATGTACTGAACATCTTTTCATTATTCATTATTATGTTGTATACATTCCCATATACGATATATCCTCTCAGTTAGCTGTGTATTAGAAACTAAAGATTATTAAATAAGGTCACAATTAAAGCCTTTAGACCTTAAGACATACTAAGAATTTCTGGAGAAAAAACTATAAAAACAGAGTACTAATATGGACTAAAACTGTTCATTTCCTATATACCTAGATTGAAAAAAAGTTTCATTTTAATGTCATCAAAATTTTTACTGCCAACATATCCACAGAATTCTAGCTCAGGAACTTCAGGGATTACTTAGTTGAGTCCCCGTGGTATAGAAGAGAGAATTCTAGGTAATAGCCAGAGAATTCACATGACTTGCCCAAGAACACAGGTAGCTTGGGCCAGAACCCCAAGTCCAATACCTCCCACCAAGCTTCTGTATCTTGGAAGTCAATATGAAAATAGCACCATCTAAATGACCAAATGACATTTTGTTTCTTTTTTTCTTTTATTATTCATATGTGCATACAAGGCTTGGGTCATTTCTCCTCCCTGCCCCCACCCCCTCCCTTACCACCCACTCCGCCCCCTCCCTCTCCCCCCCACCCCCTCAATACCCAGCAGAAACTATTTTTGCCCTTATTCTAATTTTGTTGAGAGAGAGTATAAGCAATAATAGGAAGGAACAAGGGTTTTTGCTGGTTGAGATAAGGATAGCTATACAGGGCGTTGACTCACATTGATTTCCTGTGCTTGTGTGTTACCTTCTAGGTTAATTCTTTTTGATCTAACCTTTTCTCTAGTTCCTGGTCCCCTTCTCCTATTGGCCTCAGTTGCTTTTAGTTGTGGTCTCTGCTTTAGTTTCTCTGCGTTAAGGGCAACAAATGCTAGCTAGTTTTTTAGGTGTCTTACCTATCCTCACCCCTCCCTTGTGTGCTCTCGCTTTTATCATGTGCTCAAAGTCCAATCCCCTTGTTGTGTTTGCCCTTGATCTAATGTCCACATATGAGGGAGAACATACGATTTTTGGTCTTTTGGGCCAGGCTAACCTCACTCAGAATGATGTTCTCCAATTCCATCACATTTACCAGCGAATGATAACATTTCGTTCTTCTTCATGGCTGCATAAAATTCCATTGTGTATAGATACCACATTTTCTTAATCCATTCGTCAGTGGTGGGGCATCTTGGCTGTTTCCATAACTTGGCTATTGTGAATAGTGCCGCAATAAACATGGGTGTGCAGGTGCCTCTGGAGTAACCTGTGTCACAGTCTTTTGGGTATATCCCCAAGAGTGGTATTGCTGGATCAAATGGTAGATCAATGTCTAGCTTTTTAAGTAGCCTCCAAATTTTTTTCCAGAGTGGTTGTACTAGTTACATTCCCACCAACAGTGTAAGAGGGTTCCTTTTTCCCCGCATCCTCCAACACCTGTTGTTGGTGGTGTTGCTGATGATGGCTATTCTAACAGGGGTGAGGTGGAATCTTAGTGTGGTTTTAATTTGCATTTCCTTTATTGCTAGAGATGGTGAGCATTTTTTCATGTGTTTTTTGGCCATTTGAATTTCTTCTTTTGAGAAAGTTCTGTTTAGTTCACTGCCCATTTCTTTATTGGTTCAGGCTGCATAAAATTCCATTGTGTATAGATACCACATTTTCTTAATCCATTCGTCAGTGGTGGGGCATCTGCTGTTTCCATAACTTGGCTATGCTGAATATTGCCGCAATAAACATGGTGTGCAGGTGCCTCGGAGTAACCTGTGTCACGGTCCTTTTGGGTATATCCCAAAAAGGAGTGTAAATTGCTGGATCAAATGGTAGATCAATGTCAGCTTTTTTAGAGTACCTCCCAAACTTTTTCCAGAGTGGTGTACTAGTTTACATTCCCACCAACAGTGTAAGAGGGTTCCTTTTCCCCGCATCCTCACAAACCTGTTGGTGTGGTGGTTTGCTGATGATGGCATTTCTAACAGGGGTGAGGTGGATCTTAGTGTGGTTTAAATTTGCATTTCTTTATTGCTGAGAGGTGAGCATTTTTTTCATGTGTTTTGGCCATTTGAATTTCTCTTTGAGAAACGTTCGTTTAGTTCACTTGCCATTTCTTTATTGGTTCATTAGTTTGGAAATTTAAGTTTTTTAAGTTCCCTATATATTCTGGTTATCAGTCCTTTGTCTGATGTATACTGGCAAATATTTTCTCCCTCCTCTATTCTGTTCCACTGGTCTTCATGTCTGTTTTTGTGCAGTACCATGCTGTTTTTTATTGTTACCTTTGTAATATAGTTGAAGTCAGCGGTAATTGTGATACCCTCCTGCATTGTTCTTTTGACTGAGTATTGCCTTGGCTATTCGTGGCTTCCTTGGTTTCCATATAAATTTTCATGGGTAGATTTTTCGATCTCTTTAAATGAATGTCATTGGAATTTTGATGGACATTGCATTAACATGTAAGGATTACTTTTAGGGGTATCGAACATTTTTACTATGTTGAATTCTACCAATCACATGGAGCATGGGAGAATCTCTCCACTTTCTATGGTTTCCTCAATCTCTTTCTTCAGAAGTTATAGTTTTCCTTGTAGAGGGTCCTACACATCTTTTGTTAGGTTTACACCTAGGTATTTGATTTTTTTTGAGGCTATTGTAAATGGAATTATTTTCATGTATTCTTTTTCAGTTTGCTCATTATTAGTGTATAGAAATGCTAATGATTTTTCTATGTTGATTTTATATCCTGCTACCTTGCTATAGCTATTGATGATGTCTAGAAGTTTCTGAGTAGAGTTTTTTGGGCAAAAGACATTTTGTAAACTAAAACTGCAGCAAAGCCAGGCACAAGGTGTGTTCCTTACCTTCAATCCAATGACATTCTGTCCATTGATTTCACAGATGTTATGTTCAGTGAGAAGACCGTTTCTGGCTGCAGAACTATCTTTCACAATGGATGTTATCTTTCCATTTTTAAAGATGAAACCAACATGTCCACTACTATCCTTATGCATAGTAATTGTCCGTTCAAAGGGCCTACAAACAGTAAAATTTTAATCCTAACGTAAACATTTCAATGGGTTTCATATACCATAAATTCTGCCATATTGAACACTTATAATAAATGATAAATGCTTTTAATAAGAACTTATTATGGCTCTGATATTGTACATGTACAGAACAACATCTTTGTGTAAAAAATTTTAAATCTCTTCATTGTAATTTGAATGACTTGCTAATCAAGATTTCCTTTAAGTATGAGACAACTGAATACAATACTTCATGCAGTTTATGGATATGCTTTTTTCCTTTAAAATTCATCATACTCTCACATTAATAATGAACTAGGCTTTGAACTAAATCACGGAGGTAAAACTGAATTTCTACTTTCCAATTTTTAGTATTTCCAGGAGCTTAACCATTAGGAAATTTTAAAAAATTTAAATTATTAAGGCTGGGCATGGTCTGTAATCCCAACTACTTGGGAGATGGAGATTGGGAGGATTATTTCAATGCCAGCCCAGGCAAAAAAATTATGAAGACCTCATCTCAACAAGCTGGATATGGTGGTGGCATGCTTGTAATCCCAGGTATGTATGTGGGAGGCACAGGTAAGAAAACAGTCTGAGGCTGGCCTAGGGAAAAAGTGTGTGATCCTATCTACAGTCCTGAAATACCAAGGAGAAAACCTCTTGGACTATCAATTTTCACTTAAAAAAAACATGAACGCAGGAGGGGAAAAATAGGTCTTTTTCAGGCGTGGGTACCAGTGGGAGGTGGGTAGGCACAAGGACGGGGAATGAGGGTGAATATGGCGGATGTATTTTGTATCCATATTTGAAAATAGAAGAATGAAACCTGTTGAAATGGTTCTAAGAGGGAAAATCCAACTAAGATATTGTAAGTACATGTGTAAATGTGTACAACTATTATATGCTAATAAAATTTTAAAAATAAAAAAAAGCAAAAAAAGAGCTGGGAATGTGGCTTAAGTGGTTGACTTGTCTAGCAATGACAAGGCCCTGAATTCACCAAAATGAACTTTTAAGTACTTGCATTTTGATTTGAAATTTTTATAGGTTTTGTTTACTCCATGCAATATTTTATTTCAGTTACTGTTGTATTTATTTTGTTATTATTATTATTTTTTGAAGTGGCGCTTTGCTATGCAGCCCAGGCTGGCCTTGGACTCTTAATCCTCCCACCTCTGCTTCCCAAGTTCTAGGGTTACAGGCATCTTCTATTTAAAAAAAAAAAAACACTGCTAAAGCAGTAAGACCCCATTTAGACAAGAAGGCACACAGCTACTATAAAAAGCCAGCCAGTGATGCCTCTTAGAAACAGTCATGCCAATTGTGCTTGCTTGCTTCTCTACAACTCTGCCATCATGTTATCATTGGTCTTTCTGTTAGTCCAACCTGTTCTTTAAAATTCTACTTAAAAAGTAATGACATTCATCTATAAAAATTCACTAAATAAAATGTATAAGAATCTGGAAACCCAACGACAGATAAAACATTATAAGCTTAAGAAACAAAAATCCAGAACTTTCTGAGTTACTGTAAGTAGCTTTGACATTGGTAGGAGCTGGGAAAGAAAATAAATGGAAGCCCATCTTTCATATGATAAAGTGTTTTTTGTTTGGTGTGGCACTCTGCCACTTGAGCCATGCCTCCATCCCTTTTTGATTTTAGGTTACTTTTATGATAGGATCTTGCATTTTTGCTGGGGGTGGAAGGAGGGTCAGCCTGGATTTAGATCCTCCTTCCCCTGGCCTCTGGTGTAGCTGGGACCACAGGCTACCATCATGCCCAGCTTGTTGGCTGAGATGGAGTCTCATTAATTTTGTGCCCAGGCTGACCTTGAACTACCATCCTCCTAATCTCTGTTTCCTACATAGCTGGGATTACACTCATGAGCCACCAAGTCTAGCTCATGTGCTATAAATGTTTAGAAGTAATAAATTAACTGCAACAGAGAAAGCTTGATCCTCTTGACCACTAGAGCACCACAGCTATCCAGGAGGTCAGGTTTGTTTTTCAAAACTTCCAGACTTTGAGTTTCATGTGGGCTCCAACCCTCAGAACAAGGGGCCATGGCACTGTGTGTGGACATGCTAGACTATCAGATGTCTAAGCAGTAAGCAAGAAAGTGAGGCTACAGTACTGCTGAAGAAGTACTTTAGTTACTTTTCCAACATACATTTTGTATTTACTAAGAGAGGAAAATACCCAAGGACAAATTTCTATAACTGAAATAAAGTATATATTGCAAAATCAGAAGTCTATTACAAAAATCAAAGTATGTAAGAAAAATCTGCACCACACAACGGCAAGACCAAAAGGCTTATCAGTAACATTTTATCAGTTTCTTTAAAAAAATACTATATTTACAGAATCCTGGAAGCACAAGAAAACTGAAAACTAGTTTTGAATGTCCATTTGGGCTGTTTAGTAACAGCTTACCTGTCACGAATGGTCATAGTAATCTTCTCTCCAAAAGCCTGTTTGAGTACCTTGTGTGCTTTATCAGAGCTCCAGCCTGCACAGTTTTCACCATTGATCTGGAGCACTTGGTCCCCAAATCTCAGACCAACCAATGAGGCTGGAGAATTAGCCTGGACTAACTGAACAAATATACCCTAGATAATAAGAAAATAACTGGTCATTTACCCCTATCATGATATGGATTTAAAAACGTTGGTTAGAAATATCCCCTATTAAACAACAAGAAGAAAAACAGAGTATAATGTGTCAAGTTACCCTATTAAACCAAAAAAAATTACCAAGACAACCCCAAAGAAAAAGACAAGAAAGATCTTAGTGGTAATCTCTACCCCAAATCATAACCCACCTGATCAACCTCAATTACTCCTACTCACCAAGACAACCAAGTAAAATAAAGTAGGGCAACTTTACTAAATGCAAACCTCTATGGGTCTGACAGAATACAAAAAAGGTGTTAGCACATGACTGTTATTTGGGGTGAGGGAAAAGCAAGTCAAGTGCTACAAGTTTGGGAAGTCCTCTTAAAACTTCTAAAAAATGATAATTTAAGGTAATAATTTTACCTTTTGAACTCTAAGATTCCTTTACTCATTTGCTAAATTATGAATTATCAAGCAAGATTAGGGTTTAATAGCCTAAAATGATCATCATGTTAAATTTAACATGAACTCTTAAAAAGAATCCACTATGAAATAAATACAGGAAAGTGAAGTACCATTAATTAAACCCACACAGATATTCTTTCTTATGGAAACTCAATTAGATATTATCCAAATATAAACAGACAAGCAGAGAAGAGTAAACCTAGGGAGATATAAACATACCCATACGGCTGGATATTCTCTGTAATTTTAACCTGGGTGAGACATGACTTTTGTCACAGGTCTGTTACACATTAGAAGGTGGTAAGAACTGGATGGCACCCCATTAAGTACATTAATATGCTTTAGCCAAGTGGACAACTCCACTGTAAGGATAGCCACAATGGGGCAAGAGGCGTATGAGAACTACCTTTTTTCTTTAGGACAGAGGAAACAGCAGTAAAGAAATCTGGCAGAAGGGGCAACACTACACACTACTCTGTCAAGAGGGAGGGACTAAAAACAGTGAAGTCTTGGGCTTCCCAACCAAGCACACTGATGTGTCTTGAATAAGCTGAGTGTGCAAAGACACTGTACCCTTAGTTCTCTGGCTGGACAAGTAGAACTGGGACCTCCTGCCAAGATCAGCCTCATCCAGTTAAAGCAGTGTACTACACTTATTTCGTATGTGAAAAAGCTGAAGTCAGTGACTTAATGAGACTTAAGACTAAAAGAATCCAACAAGGTCATAGCTAAAATCATAAAGTAGAATAATGACCAAGCACTTCCAGAACAATTCTAAAATGTTCCCCAAAGAATAACCTTGTTTCATGTCTTCAGTATGGTAAAATGAGAGATCAAAGTAATTACAAGGTAAAGAAGTGGCTGCCCTACTTAGAAAGAAACTTGCTCAGAAAATAACCAGCTAAATTCCAATTTCAAGGACAGAAATAACAAACTTACAAAATAATCCCAATTTATATAATAATCATTTGGTTTAAAAGTCCGTACTTCCATTCTCGCTGGTCGGTGTTTCTTAACTTTCACATATTTTAATTCCAGAAGTCTGTGACACACACTATGTTACAGGTATATCTAAGGCAGTTTGTAATATGTAAAACCAATGAACTTAACTTTCAGTTAAGAGTATACAAAAAAGAAAAAAAATCATTTGAAGTAATGTGCTTAGAAGTTCTAACTATGCCTCCTCAAAATAGGACATGTCCTAGTGAACAAATTTAGGTTAGCAAATTTATAGTATTCTCAATTATAGATGCACCATTACAATTAACTAAAGCATTTCTATCTCAAACATTCTAACAATCACTTAATATTATGAAGCTATTTAGATAAATTCAAATAGGTATTAAAAATACTTACATTATCTATTGATTTAAGCCTCAGCCCAATTTTTCCATCTTGATCTTTACACAAAATGACTTCACGAATCCCTTGCTTAATTTCTGCTCTACGAATTCCAACGTCATTGCCTGTTACAGGAGCCACCATATAGTTCATACTGGAAGGTCGTGCTACCAACTGCTGAGAAAAACAATATGTCAATAATTAGAAATACTCTCTTTGAAAGAAATCAAAAATAATTAGCTGGAACTGGCTAGGTTGTGGTTTTCCAATTACTAATCCATAAATAATTTTCTTTAAGTTTGATTTCTACAAAAAATGAAACTTATTTTTATTTGCTATTCCTCAGGTAATTTATTTCCATGATATCGTCGTCTCTCACAGACTGAATGACTTACTCTATATTTGTGTCTTTTAATTTCACACGCACTGTCAATTGTTGCCTAACAGTGTTCAGTTCACAAGGACCATACTGACAACAGTGATCTCATAAGATTATTAACATCCAGTGTGGTCACAGCCATCTTAGTTTGTGTATGTACACTATGATGTTCATACAACACTCAAACCAACTAACCAATATTTTTCAGAACCTATTCCTGTCATTAAGCAATTCTGCTTTGCATTTCTATGTATTCTCCTTGAACTTAAAGGCCACATTATACTTCTGAGACACACGTTTCAAGGGCTTTTAAGTGATATAATCTTTTGACAATTTACTTACTCTTCAAGAATTTCTATCAAAAGAGCAGCATTCTTACAGTGTTGTTGTGAGAATTAAGAAAAGTGATATTTATGAGTCCTAGCACATACAAGGTAAACATTATTTCTCATCCATTTTAATAACATTCTAGGTATTAACAAACTGGATATGCAAACCACACTTCCTCAGAATAGTATACTATGGAATTGTGTCAAGTACCACATTTGTAGTTTCTAAGTTTTTCAAGTTTTCTTGAGTAAAACTGGTTTTTCAAGTAGACCCTTTCCTCAACCAAAAACAACAGCAAGGGAATTGCTTAACAAGGCTTCTTGCTCCAAATTTGTCATTAAAAAAACCTCTGACCTAAAGAACTATGTTCAGAGCAACAGTGATAGGAAAGAAGACCTGCAGCTACAAAACATCACAAGTTTAAATTTTATACATTCAGCACTGATCGTAACCATGATAGCATATTCTAAAACTGACAGTCTGTCAAGAATAGTGAACAATCCACATATTCATAAATAACTAGACTAGAAATGATAACACAATGCCAGAAGAAATTACTTATTACCAGGGTTCAAATAAGAGACAAAGGAAAATCAGACAATGGTACAGGAAAAGAAAAACTTAAAGAAGTAAGTGAATGATTTAGTTGTATTTCATGTGCCTCCAAATTGATGAATTATGATGAATTCTGAATGAGTAAATAAAGCTGATAGCCTAACATACATAAACTATATTAGAAATCAGAATATAATACCAGAAAGATTTGTTTCTAAAGGAATCCCAAGCAGAACTCTTGCTGAGTTTAAGAGACTGAGGAAAGCTGAAGAAATTATAATTTACAGGGCAGAGTCTAGAAAGACAAAAAGCTCCAGATATCTGCAACTGGACTTGTTGTATTCAATCTGCTGGGAAACACTAATCCAAGTATGTATAAAGTGAGGCTCTACAAGGACAAGCAAAGGGCGCCCATGAATTCCTGGAGATCACACCAGGCTGAGAGATATTCATGCACCTACCAACCAGAATGGAGAATGCTTGTTGAATACTTGGAGTGGATATTGTTTTCTAGTAATGGAGACAGTAAGCTAACAGAACTACCCTGAAAAAGTAAAGGCAGTTGTAAAAGAATCAAGCTGATCCACATATGACTTAACCTGCCAGACAAGTAACAATACTCTTTTAAAGAAATACAACAAAATTCAGCACAGAACAATGTAATATTCACAATGTCCAGCATTCAATTAAAAACCAGATGGCAAGTGAACAAGCAGGAAAATGTAACACATAATCAGGAGAAAAATCAGTCAACAGAAGGAGACTCCAAAATGACAGAAATCATTATCAGACAGAATTTAAAAGACTGACTACAAATACACTCAAGGACTTAAAGGAAACCATGAGTGAGGGAAACAGAAGATATAAAGAAGCAGCAAATTTACATTCAACTAAATCCTTGACAAAGTTGCTAAGGATATATAATAGGGAAAGGATGGTCTCTAAAGTGAATGATATTGGGAAGACTAGAGATCCACAAGTAAAGTAGTGAAACTGCAGCTTATCTTACATCACACATACAAATTAACTCCAAATGGATTAAAGACTTAAGTGTAAGTCTGAAAACAAAACTAGAAGAAAACAGGAAAACACTCCTTGACATTGATTTTTTTTTTACACTGACACCAAAAGCACAGGTGAAAAAAGAAAAAATAAGCAAATGGGACTACATCAAACTAAAAAGCTTCTTCACCTCAAAGGAATAAACGTAATGAGAAGGCAACCTACGGAACTAGGAAAGTATTTAAAAACCTTTAAGTGGTAAGGAACTAATAACCAAAATATATGAGGAACTCATAAAATTCAATAGCAAAAGAGCAAATAACCCAATTACAAGATGGGTAAATTTCAATTCACCAACAATGAACAAACTGAGAAAGACTATAGGAAAACAATTCCATTTACAATAGCCTCAAAAAAAAAAAAAACACCTAGGAGTAAACTTAACAAAGGATGTAAATGACCTCTACAAGGAGAACTACAAATCATTGAAGAGATCGAGGAAGACTACAGAAGGTTGGAAAGATCTCCCATGCTCATGGATTGGCAGAATCAATATAGTAAAAATGGCTATACTACCAAAAGCAATCTACATGGTTCAACACAATTCCCATCAAAATCCCAATGACATTCATCACAGAGATTGAAAAATCTACCCTAAAGTTCATTTGGAAACAAGATACCACAAATAGCCAAGGCAATACTCAGGAAAAAGAGCAATGCTGGAGGTATCACAACACCTGACTTCAAACTGTACTACAGAACCATAGCAATAAAAACAGAATGGTACTGGGACCCAGATATGAATCCACACAGCTACGTCCACCTTATTTTTGACAAAGGCGCCAAAAACAAAAGACAGCCTCTTCAACAAATGTTACTGGGAAAAGTGGTTATCAGCCTGCAGAAAACAGAAACTAGATCCATGCCTATCACCCTGTACTAGTATCAACTCAAAGTGGATTAAGGACCTTAATGACAGACCCGAATCCTTGAAGTTAGTACAGGAAAGAGCAGAGAATGCTCTGGAAGCAACTTTCCCAGTAGAACTCCAGCAGTCCAGCAACTAAGAGAGAGGATGGACAAATGGGACTACATGAAATCAAAAGTTTCTGCACAAGAAATGGTCTCTAAATTGAAAAGACTACCCACAAAGTGGGAGAAAATCTTTGCTAGCTATACATCAGACAAAGAATTGATAACCAGAACACAGGGAGCTCCAAAAACTAAACTGCCCAAAAATCAATGAACCAATAAAGAAGGAGGCAACTGAACTAAACAGAACTTTTCCAAAGGAAAAGTTCCTTTTGGTCCAAATGGCCAAAAAAACACATGAAAAAATGCTCACCATCCCTGGCCATAAAAGAAATGCAAATCAAAACCATACTAAGATTTCACCTCACTTGTGTTAGAATAGCTATCACCAAAAACACCACCAACAACAAATGTTGGCGAGGATGTGGGGAAAAAAGAACCCTCATACACTGCTGGTGGGAATGTAAGCTAGTACAACCACTTTGGAAAACAATATGGAGGCTTTTTAAGAAACTAAATATAAATCTGCCATGTGATCCAGCAATCCCACTACTATGGATATACCTGAGAGAATGTGATTCAGGTTATTCCAAAGGCACCTGCACACCGATGTTTATTACAGCACTATTCACAATAGCCAAGCTATGGAAAAAGTCATGATGCCCCACCACCAACAAATGGATTAAGAAAATGTGGTATTTATACATAATGGAAATTTATTCAGCCACAAGGAAGAATGAAATTTTGTCATTTGCAAGTAAATGGATGGAACTGGAGAACATCATCTTAAGCGAAGTTAGCCAAGCTCAGAGGGCCAAAAATTGTATTTTCTCCTTCATATGCGGATTACAGACCTAAAACAAATGAAGTAATACTATTGGACATGGGTTACACACTAAGGGGAGAACGTACATGGGAGGAATAGGGAAAGGGAAGGAATAAAACTTGAATGTGGTTGATGTGCTCACTGTAGGTGAGCAAATACAGTAATCTTAAACTGGCAGAAGCCACTATGGAAGGTGACCAGGAAGTAGTGAAGACGTCAGGTAGAGATGAACCAATGTGGGTTGTAATACACATGTGCATGGAAGCAATGCTAGGAATCTCTCTGTATAGCTATCTTTATCTTAAACTAGCAAAACCCCTATGTCTTTGTTATTATCTCTTATGTTTTCTCTTCAACAAAATTGGAGAAGAGGGCAGAACAGGTTCTGCCTGGAAGGGGTGGGGGGACAGATGGGAGAAAAAAAAAGGACAAAAAACCTGAATGGACATTTTTCCAAAGACATACAAATGGCCTATCGTTACAGGGAAAGGAAACTCAATACCATTAATCATCAGGAAAGTGCAAATCAAAGCCATAAAATGAGGTACCTATGTCACATTTGCTAGGGTGACTATTATCAAAAAGACAGAAGCTAAGTGTTGGTGAGGGTATAAAAAAAGGGAAGTCTTATGCACTATGCGTGGGAATGTAAATTAGTGCAGCCCCTATGAAAACAGACAGGAGGATCCTTTGAAAATGAAAAACTGAATTATCATATGATCCAGCAATCCCATTTCTGGGTAAATAATCAAAGGAAATAAAACACTATCTGTAAAACATATCTGTATTTTTATGTTAACTGTACCATTATTTATAGTGGCCAAGAAAAAAGTGTCTATTGACATATGAATAAAGAAAACATGGAGTATATATACAGAACATAATATTATTCAGTCACAAAAAATAACATCTTATTATTTGGACAACACAGATGAACCTGAAGGACATTATGGTAACTGAAATAAGTCAGACACACAAAGACAAAAATACTGTCTGATCTCGCTTAATGTGGAATCTAAAAAAGCCACACAGAAGCAGAAAGTAGAAGGGTAGTTATCATGGGCCAGGAATGGGCAGGAGAGTAATGAAGTAATATTAGTCAAAGTGTACAAACTTTCAGTTATAAGTTCTGGGGGCTAATGAATAGTATGGTAACCACAGTTAATAATAGTGCATTGTATTCTTGAAATTTGCTATTAAAGTAGATCTTAAGTGTTCTTACCACACACCAAAAAAGTGTTAACTATGTGAGATAAGAGATGTGTTCATTAACTTGATTATGGTAATTATTTCACAATGACTACATTCATCAATACATCCCATTGTGCACCTTGAATATAGCTAACTTTAATTTGTTAATTATATCTCAATAAAGCTGGGGGAAAGAACCACATGGAACACAAAGAAATGAAAAATTCACTTGAAAAAAAAGTTCCAACAACAAACTAAATTAAAATGAAATGAAAGAAAAAGTAAAGACAAGGCACTGAAGAACTCTGGAGATACTTTAAAAATGACAGTGCAGATCACCCACTCAGTACTAAGGGATGGAGAGACGAAGACTAGCTGAAGTACTGGCCAACGACAAAGGGAACAAAGAGTATGTATAGTAGGTAAAGGAAGTCATAAATACTAACTGTGGCTTCATGACTTGTTACCACCGAAGATCCTACATGATCATTAAAGCCTGAAGTACTTTTTATGTGGTCCTTTATTAAAAAAGTTTGCTGGACCTTCATTTTATGAAGGGTAAGTGCATCTTTAATGGAGAAAGTACAAAGTCATTCTTATTGTCATGTGAAGTTCCAATATCTGTAGAGGTATGTGGATATATATAGTCAAAGGAGTAGGTGGTCCGAGGTATTAAACTCCACATCCACTCTTCTGTCCTCTACTCAATGATTCTGGGGCTTGTGATGTGTAAGTTATGATTACCTTGTCACTGTTTCTACTTAGCTTACATTGCATCAGGCTCTAGAGGGGGACTGGTGTGGCAAGTGCCTGTTCCTTGCTGTTTGCTTTCTGCTTCTGTTGGCACTGCAGGCAGATGCAAATGTTTCCAGCTAACACTTTCAGACCAGCTCTTTCAACCCCTCAGGGGGCTGGTATTGCAAACACAACCCTTCAAGGCCTCAGTCCCAGTTCTGTGGGGCTGTGTGCCTAAGCTTCTAGATTCTACTAACTCCAAACTCTCCCCATCCTAGGAACAGCAGCTAACCTGCAATTCTATCTGTTCCACTTTCAATTATTTGATCTCTTTATCTAATTTCTTAAATTACTTTTGTTGAAATACTATGGCTTGCTGGATCCTGACCATTACAAGCAAGTTTTCAATAAATATCTGGTAAATAGTAAATGCCAGGTACTGCATTAAGAACTAGAGTTGAACATGGTGGTTCACACCTATAATCCCAGCTGTGCAGGAGGCAAAGATTGGGAGGATAGTGGTTCGAAGCTAGCCTGGGCAAAAATTTAGTGAGACCCCATTTGAACAAGCCAGGTGTAGTGCATGTACGTATATAATCTCAGTTATGCAAGAGGCCATAGGTAGAAGGATCGAGATCTGAGGCCAATCCCCTGCAAAAAAGACCTATCTAAAAAATAACCAAAACAAAAAAACAGCTAGGGGCATGGCTCAAGTAGTAGAGCACCTGCTTGGCAAGCACAAGGTCCTAAATTCAAATCCCAGTACCACCAGGAAAAAAAAAAAAAAAAAGAAACTGAGGTTATGGCAACAAGGCAGACATGGATTCAGTCATGAAGTATTTAACAGTAATTATAGTATAAAATGCTATGGTCTTAAGCAATGACTTTTATAAGTGGTTATCAGATGTGTTATATTTAAGCCTAGAATCTGGGGTCCAATTATAAGGAGATTTGAATTTCAGAAGAATGTTAACTGATATGAGCAAAGAAATGACAATGACAGATCAATACTTCAGAATGATTACAAAATCTAGCAGCAGCTTAATACTGTCTGATATTACTAAGGGAATAGCAAAAAAACAGAAAGACAATCCTACATAGTACTATCCAGAGGAAGTCTAAAATTTGAGAAGAGAGGCGAATGCAAAAGTTATAAATTTTTGAGTTAGCTACCAAAGGGAAAGCTTATATTTACAATATGAAGTATAATTATATAGTTCAGTATTAATTATATTATACATACCCCCTGAATTGGTGCTCCAGGAACCATGGCCATATTTGTACATATTTCTTCTTCACTTAAACTCAGTCCCATATATTGGGAAAGCTCCGGATACAGTTTAGGGTAGAGATCTATTATAAATGAATAAATGAATGAATGAATGAATGAATAAAAAGACAGAATATTCAAAATGGAAAGTATTATTGAGCTTTTTGTGTTTAAAAAAGCACATTAAAGTTACAAAATTTAGGATTAATTTAAAGTAGCAATTTGGAAAAGGGCATCTCCAATCTATATAATAATTAGAATAGAAAATCTTTAAGGTCGAAATCATAAAACATAAATAAATCCGAGCTGGAAAAATCTCAGATTTCTGAAACATGGGGCATTGGTTTCTGGATACACCACAGATACCAAATTCAGTAGACAGTTAAGTCTCCTGTATAAAATGGTGTAGTATTTACATGGAACCTATGCACATCCTCTGTATACTCCACTGTCACTGCTCTATTACTTATAATACTCAATAGAATTCAAATGCTAGGCAAACAGTTGTTCATTGTATTGTTTTAGGGAATGGTAAGAAAAGTATTTTGTACATGGTCGTAGTACAAGTAAAATTTTTACATTCCAATTATTTTTAATTTGTGGTTGGTGGAATCTGCTGTTTGTGAAATTCATGGATACAGAGGGTCAACTACTCAAAAGTAGAAATAATTTTCCCAAATAAATTACCTTGTCTTTTCTGTTTCTTAAACCTATTTCATTAGAAACTTTGTAAGAATATCACTGATTCTCTGATTCAAAGCTGACCAAAATGTCTTCTGTCAAATCAACTAATTTCAACTCATTCAATAAATATGGCTGGAATGATTCTTCCCAACAAGGAAAAAATTCAAAGCTTATAGTGCCATAACACTTTAAGAATATTAACCATATTCCAATGAAATCCTAGAAAGAGTATTTTTAAAGATTAACAGTATTTAACATTTTAATAGTTGTATATACTTCCAAAAGGTTTTTTTACTCAATCTGTTACTTAAAATGGACTTTCTAAAGGAACGGTGTTATGGAGAACTATAAAACAAGATAAGCCATATAAACCTATTTACATTTATTTTGTTACTGAAGTCACAAGATGTAGAGGCTCTGTCCTAAATCCCATGGAAGGGTTTTTTTTTTTTTTTTTTTAATAAATGAATCAGCCATATGTTAAGAACTTGTGAGTCAGGGTAAAATTAATTTTCTTTAAGCCATAAAATGTATCTTTATATTCATGGGTCACTCTCTTGATTAGATAAAGGGTTATTTTTTGGGGTAAGCATTTTTCCCTTTAGAACTTTAACTCCCAATTTTGTGCAGTTAAAAGAAAAAATAAACATCTTCAGTTCTCCATTTCAGCAAAAGAAGGCTTAGCAACATTTGTGATCTGAGAGAATGAACCCAAAGCATAAACTTACTTCCATCTTGAGAGATGGGCGCAGAAGCTTCAGACAAAATTGCTGGGTTGGCAGGGTTTGCAGAAAAGGCAGCTTGAGCCTGAAAGAGAAAAGAAGGACATTCGAACAACATGCCTAATATTCTTACATAGTTTACAAGTTAATCAAGTACTTCCAGAAAGAAACTAAAACCCAAAGTGTTATAAAAGAAAAGTTTCATTTCAAACACTTTGCCAATCATTTTTTCAAAGGAAATCTCCAAAACGATTTCAGTCCAAATAGCTTTAAGACTATCATAAAAATTGAATAAGCACTATCTACATATCTTATAACCAGAGTTTAATAGTGCTACTGTACCATAATATTTTCAAAGGGCATCCCAAATGGATGGTAACACACTTCACATTTTCATTATCCTTTTACTAATTATTTCAAATAAAAACATTTTCTTGGACTGGTGGCATGGCTCAAGTGGTAGAATGCTTGCCTAGCAAATGTGAGGCCCTGAGTTCAACCCCTAGTACGAGAGAGAGAGAGAGAGAGAGAGAGAGAGAGAGGGAAAGGGGGAGGGGGAGAGAGAGAGAGAGAAACCATGGTCACCTCAATAAAAGGCATTAAATTTTTTTCTTTGCATAAGGAAAAAACTCAATCATATTCATGTAAAAAGTCATATATCTGAAAACCCCTGAAATCATATTTAACTTGCTAATTTTTATTTTCATTTTAGCATGCCCACTGAAATAATCCATCTTCATTTGCAAGTACAAGAAGGGATTAGTTAAAAATTGCCAAAAGTGTAATTTATAGCTCACATAAAAGAATATTAATGTAATTTGTAACTGCTAAACTTGCCAAGATTACTTTGACAGAGTGTATTTATAAACACTACTCATGCTCAAGAATGTATGCTTCATCTCCATCTTTCAGGGCTTCATAGGCTGTCATTAAGTATCCCACTGATGGAAATAACTTTGTCCTTTGCAGATCAAATTTTCTGAAACAGCCATGACATTTAGAGAAAAGTTTGGTACTAAATTCTATGACCAATCTCTAATTATCATTTATTGCTTCATTGGAAATTTGTCAAATTAGGAAATAAAGTTTATACTTGTATTTCAACTTAGCTCTGAAATCAATGGCAAAAGTGGTCTCAAAGGTGCTAAGAGAAAGCTTAATTTAAGTCAGAACAGCATACAAAAGCTTTGAGTGGCACTAAACTCATTAGCATTATAAACATTCTAAAATACTGTACTTGTTACCAAATCAGTCATTATAATTTCTCATTTTATAGTATCTTAAACCTTCTAAACTAAAACAAAAGAAACATGAAAATGTTTATGATTATATATAAAAATCCACAAACTCAAAATGAATTTTGAAAGTTGTTTTGTCAAACATCAACTAAAGGGAATGAGCAACCAACATTTGCTTTCTTGCATCTCTTCAAAAAAAAAAAAAAAGACAATTCAACATTAAAAAGATATGAGGTATCAAGCCATGAAAAGACATGGAGGAAACTTATGTACATACTACTAAGTAAAACAATGTGAGACGGCTAGCTATTGTATGATACCAATTATGTAACATTCTGGAAAAGGCAAAACTGTGGAGACAGTAAAAAGATTAGTGGTTGCCAGAGGTTGTGGACAGAGGGATGAATAGGCAGAATACTGAAGCCATTTAGGGTAGCAAAACTATTCAGTAAGATTCTACAATATCTTTATATACATCTGTGAAAACTCATGAAACATACGACAGACACAACACCAGGTGCAGTGGAACATGCCTGTAATCCCAACTACTGGAAAGGCTGAGGTAGGACTGCAAGTTCAAGGCCAGCCTGGGCAACACAGCAAACTACTATCTCAAAATAAAACAAAAGTTTAGTAAAAAGCTGGGAATGTAACTCAGTGCTTGCCTAGCATAATGAGGCCTTGGGTTCAATCCCTAATACTGGGGAAATGACACACCCCATGAATGGAACACTAATATAAACTGTAGACTTTAGCTGATAATGACAGGGTAATACAGATTCATCAACTGTTACCAAATGTACTACTCTGATGCAGAGGTTCATGGTGGGGGAGACTGTTCATGTGTGTGTCTTTTGGGGAGATGTATGCTTTCTGCTCTTTGCTGTGATCCTAATATTGCTATAAAATACAGCTCTTAATTTAAAAAGTATTTTTTGGTTGAGACAGGATCTCAATATATAGCCCAACCTAGCCTCAAACTTGCTCTGTAGCCCACAATCCTTCTAACTTAACCTCCTGCGTGCTGTGATTATAAGCATGCACCACCAAATCTGGTGATACTACTTCTGCCTACACTAGTTTTGTTCTACTCTTTTATTATTATTCTTAACCAAGAAACACTTAAGAATACACATAGAAAGTTCTCTGCAAAGTTATATAAAGTTAATTATATAACTTGTAAAAATAAAACAAAAGCTGCAAAAAGGGCTTAAGACTTGTAAGTCACTAAATGTAGCAAATTATTTCAGGATTACACTGAAATAAGAAACTGTTTGAAATAGGGGAGTGAGCCCACCAAGGAGAAGCACTATTGTTTCCGTTGTTGCAGAAAGTCCCTGGAGAAAACATGCTGTGCATCCACTTCTGCCCAACTCTAGCCACCGCATTAGAACATTGATAAGCACTGGTCCTCTAGATCACTGTTTCTTAAAAGCTTATTTGTTATAAGTAGAGAAACGATATCCTCCTGTTACGTTGTGGAATGGATATGGGATTTGGAAAGTCACAGCCTAATGTCTATTGTAAAATAGTTTATAAAATAGGAACTGCCAGGCCAGTTCACTGCTGCAATTTAACTTTGCTATAGTGCAAAAGGCCAGTAGATGAGAAAATAAATACTACATTCCTCTGTAACACACCTTTTCAGGGTCATTTCAAGAACAAAAATAAGTACTGTCCATCTTAGAAAATGAAGCAATGGCTAGGTTAGGAATATTTTTGTGCCCAGTGGAATAAAGAACCATGCTTCCTCTTCCTCACTGTTTTGTCTCCTAGCAGGCAGCTTTCTGCTCTGAACATAAAAGGTCCTCAATAGAGATGGCCATGTAATTTGCTACTCCTTAAAAGGTCAGTCTGGGGTAGACTGTAGCCCTCTTTTTCAGTTGTCATGACATCTGTCCACCTCAACAACTTCTTCTGTGCATCCAACGTCAAAAGCCTCTACTTAAAAACAATTATTGTTAATTTAAGTTCAATTCCATACAAAACCAATTTAAAAAAAGATGAAAACAAAAAAGATTAGTCAAGAAAAATTCTTTCAAATCTATCTCCAAATCTTTATTTGGAGATATATCACGTAATATACTGGTTTCATAATAATGGCTTCATTGTTATTGGAGAAGGCTAAATAAATATTTCAGATAAAAGCGTTACTGAAACAAAGAGTGCTTGTTTAGATGAACTTTGTAAAATAAAGCTACTGGGTGGGGGGAACCTGACAAAATACTAAAGAAAGCAGTGACAGAACGTAAGACGACTGAACAAATCACTTGAAGCTCAAAAGCACTCAAATTTGGCAGCTAAGTGTAGATTTCAGGATTCACAAACCCACACTTAATATCCACTCTGAGTTAGCAAGTGGAAGAGTAAATGTCCATATAGAAATTTGCTCATTTACTAGCAGTAAGTTTAATAATCCAGCCACACATATTGTTACTATTACCATGGCCTTCTTTTTTCAATTCACCCTAGTAATGCCAGTATTTTGCCTAAAATACTTACATTTTCCAGGTTACACAAGACTCTCACATATTTGCAATAAAGCAGCTGCTCATTAATCAATTATTACAAATCAAATCTCACTTTAGAGAAACTCAAATGAAGGCATCAAGTTAAAAAGGACCTTTAAGAAAGGGGAGGGGAAAAAAGGAAAATGGCGCTACAAGGAGGAAGCAGAAAGTGTGCCTCCTATAGTGAAAATCTTGGAGAGATGCTGGAGACACACCTTGCAGGCAAAAGCCACCAGGAAGAGGCAAAACTTTGACCCCTCCACACTCCAGCCTGCGCAGATCTCCACCTTCATGCTAATGGGGAAACCAGAAGGCCCTGGGCCACCAGTCGCCCCACCAGGACGGCTTGGGAGCGCGGACAGTGAGCTAAGCGGTACACGGTACTTCCCACAGACTAGCCTGCGGCAAGAACAGCACAGCCCTTGGAAAGACCAGCCCACCCAGAAAAAAGAGAACTGAGTAATAAGCAATAGAAACAATAAAACACGTTGCAAAGAGGGTGGGGCACATGAATGCCCGAAGAGCAGGGAAGGGAGTCCTTCCCGGAAGCTGTAAATAACAAAGCCAGCTAACTGGAATGCTCGACAGGAGTGGGGGCGACACCCAGCAACCAGGAGTGGGAAAGCTTGTGAGGTGGCAGGGGGAGGAAAACTCCACAGGAGAGGGGGAAGCCCACTTCCACGTGAGCTGTAAAACAAACACGCAGGCCTGAGAAAGCGGTGCAGTTGTCACTCCCCAGTGTGCTTGGAAGGGGAAAGCTTTGTAGCAGAGGCTCGCACACAGGAGAACTCTGAGTAAACAAACCTGCAGCCAGTGAGTAGTGCTAAGCTCACCCAGAGATCTGCATAAATAACGCCTCCAGCAACAGCAGGCTGACAGCAGCGGGCAGGCAAAGCCACAGATGCAGATAGCCATTCACGACTGTCTCCAGACACTCTTTTTTTTTCTCTCTCCCTACCTTTGATGAGAAAACAACGAACTACACCTGCATGCTGAAAAACTTACTGAAACTATTGCATTTGAACTTGGGACACTTTGGTGGGTTTTTTTTTGTGTGTGTGCAGTTTTGTTCTACTTATGCATCCCCTTTGATGAGACAACTACAGAACAACATCTGAGGCACCATCTCCAGGATTGGAGCTGAGAGGACACCAAATTATTAAGACTGAAACTTCATTGCATTTGAACTTGGAGGTTTTTTTTTTATTTCTATTTTTATTTTATTTAATTTATTTTATATATATATTTTTTCTTTCATTTACTTATTTTTTATTTTTATTCTTATCTTTATTTCTTTTTATTTTTTATTTTCAATCCTCTCTCTCTCTAATGCCTTT